GACCAGGCTCGCACGCGGCTGAGCTTGCACGGGGCCGGGCTTGCACGGAGCCCGCTTGGCTCCCGCGGTGCCCGCTCGGCTCGCACGGGGCCGGCTGGACTCGCATGGAACCACACTCGCACGGGGCCCACTTGGCTCGCAGGGGGCCCGCTGAGCTCGCACGGGGCTGGGCTCGAAGGGACGGGGCTGGGCTCACGCGGGGCCGGCTGGGCTCACACAGATCCGGCGGGACTGGGCTCGCGCGGGGACAGGCTCGCACGGGGCCCACCTCAACTGGCACAGGCAGGGCTGGGCTCGCACATGGCTGGGCCCGCACGGGGCTGGGCTCACACGGGGCCGGCTCGGGCTCGCACGGAGCCGGCGATGCCGGCTGGGCTCGCACGGGGCGGGGCACGTTACGGCCCAGGCCCACACAAGGCCGGGCCCGCACGGAGCTGGGCTGGCACGGGGCCGGGCCCGCAAGGAGCCGCGCTCGCGAGACCAGGCTCGGGCTCGGGTTCGCGAGGCTGATTTGTGCGAAGCATGCAAGATCGGGCCGAATCCGGCTCGCGGCGGAAACGGCAGCGGCGAGTCCTCTCGGGTTCGTGGCTTGGCTTGCTACTCTGGCGGGCTGAGCCAGGTATGGCCTCGGGTTACTGTTCACGCGTAAAGGCTTTCACATCTTAAGGAAGTGCAACAACAACAAAAAACAGCGCTCACTCTTCTTCTCGTTCACGTTCGACGTTGCAACTCTTTGAACCTTTCCAGCTGCTTGAGTGTTTTTCTTCTCTCTTTCTCGTTTTCAAAATAGTCAAGGAAGCTAAAAAAATCTTGCTGCAGTAAAGAGGAACTTCCTAGCCCACTATATTTGCCACGTGGGGTCCAGAGGAGCAACTTCCCTAGTTAAACTGAATAAATCAGTATTATAACTGTACTTTAGCTTTGTCATCTTTTTCAGATCCTTTTTTCGCTTTCTTCCCCTTGGTCGTCTCTGTGTCAGAGTCAGGCTCTTCGGTTACTGATCCAAGAATTAGCGGAAAACTCACAAAACTTTAGTATGTACACAGAGCAAGTGGAACATATTCAAACCTTGATCTTGAATATCTTTTTTGACATTTTTACCAAGTCGCACAAAAGTTTTGTCTCATGATATAACCGACGATAACTCCAAAGTCTACATTCAACAATTTTTTGTAAATCATAATATTTTATGCATTTTCTGTGGTCCTGGGAACTTCAAGCCGGCTTCTGAGAAAGCGGCTTCCAAGTCCAGACTCATCACGGCATTGGTGGGTAAATTCGGATTGTCATGCTCGAACCCACCAAAACTCTGCATATACTTCTCCATTATCCATGCATTAGATGAGGTTAACTCTGCACACTCTTCTCCATTATCCTTGGAGGTTTCGGTTCCGTTTGTGATTGACCTATCCATCTGTCCTGCATGTTAAATTTATTGTTTTCTATCACAATCCTTCTACCTGTCTTGATCTTCTTCTACTTGGCGAGCAAAAAATCAGAGCCTTATCCTTGTATTACAGAGGACATTGTATTGCAGATACAGTATAGAAGGAACGGCAACTTGATGAAAATACAAAGCCCTTAAATGCAGCAGTCCGGAAACGATCTGACGAAGCTCCCAGTGACTTCCATTCACAACTTTCGGTATCATAGTTGGAACTAGGAGAAATCCATCGTCAGCAGCATCTTGGGCCTGCTTTCCCCTTGAAAAACGGTCTCAGGATGCCTGTGAAGATGCATTTATTGTAGCCTTAACATAGATGCAGGTCGGAAGTGTCTTATTCACATCTGAACCACGGCCGCCGATGATCAGAAGAAACCGCTTGAAGCACAACCCTATGTGCTGAAAACGCGCTTCTGGTGCATCTGATGAGGGTAGTGTTGAGTAAATAACATTATTTGGAGAGTGACTTTTTTGATGTTCAGTAGTGAGTTAATTATCAAGATGATTTAGAGAAAACAGTTTAATGTAATCTTCATGTCGCCGATTCTTCACTGGTCGCTGTATTGTCATAATAATTGGTCGCGCTTCTAGTGCTGGATCGCGATCTGTATCAATTATCGCAGTACTAGATTATAGACTTAGACCCGATTTTGGAAAAATATGTGCACATCAAGGACGGCGGTCTATTTGGATGAAGATGAAACAACTAGCAGTATTATAAATGTAGGATATATTTTAAAAATAATAGTAATGTAGTATTTCCTCTCTTCGTAGTAACCAAGAGTATAAAGTAATACTTCCCTTCTTCGTTGGCGCTTCTACCCAATCCCACCGTCGGTCCCTATGCTGTCTTAGTCCCCACACATCTTTCAGACTCCGATTATCTTTCGTTCGTCCGCCGAAAAGATTAGAGACATGTCGAGCCGAAGAGATAAAGATTAGAGACAAACATCTTCAAACACTTCACAATTCCGGATTCATAAAAAGAATCATCATCCCCGACGCTGGACCTTCACGACAGACCTCTGCAGTATGATAGACGCGTGGGAGAGGTTGGTTTTTTCCGGAGACATTTATCTCGGTCCACTGGAATGGCGAATGCTCCACGTCTAATATCCAGATATCACACTCAATTTTGTTCGATACTGAACCGCCGCAGAGGGGATTAGAGGAGCAGAAGAAGAGGCTGCTGCACATTGTTCAAATGTCTTGCTCCATCGAGGGGTTCTATTCTTTTGCTATGAATCAGTTCGTAGTAGTTTGGCTGTTCAGCTTTGGCTCTCCTGAGCTTTTTTCCATAAAACTGAGAAGTTGTATCACTAGTTTCATGATCCGTCCATCATGCATTCATACCAATGAGTAGTGGTTTGTTGAAGACCATCGTATGTCCGTACCGCTTTCCAGGTGTGCCTCCTGTCACCGGTACTGGCATCCATGCGGAATTGCCCCCACCCTTGAAATCCAGCACATGCAGCTCATCTGGAACAAGCGCACCACCACCAGTTGCACCACCATAAATGACAAGGGTTAGAAAATGGCAGGAAAATTCGCCGAGTACGAGCAGGGCGTTGTCATATGGCAATATTCATATATTCAGTGAGGGCTCCTAGAAGAACAATACAATAGTACTCATATTTATAAATATATTGAACTAGTACTACTTAGCGACTCCGAGAATATTGATTCACATCTTGTCCAAGTCAACTATTTCGAGCAAGATTTTGAGCCATAACAACTGTGACCCTTCGACGCAAGCCGCGGCATGCGCTGCTCGGGCACACGGAGCGGCCGAACCTTAATTGCATACGACGTCAGCTCATTCAACTGAATGTCAAATTCATCTTAAACCAAAATGCTCAAGCAGAAATAAAGCGACTCGCCTAAGAAAGACAAACATATTTACAGCACGAAATAAAAAAACAAAAAGGTTCAAGGTTCAAGGTTGAAGGTCCGCGGCTCTACGGCCATGCCGTGTTGTCCGGGACGAAACAGGCTCGAGTAGAGCCAGAAACCGATCAACATATAAAGAAATTATTCACTATAATACCGTTATCCGCCTGAAGTTTCGACCACTGTTTGTTGCTGAGGTCCAGCGTGTACCCATCCCCAGTGATTGTGTACTGTATTTAGAAAGGTAAAATCAAACACCTGACGATCCCGTGTCGTAGTGAAATACTTCTGGATTCCGATGGTCACTTCTGAAAATTAATGCGGTCCTGCTGCTCCAAAGATGTCTTTCATTTTCATCAACAGTGCTGCCAACACTTTTTCGAAATTCGATTAGCAATCCTCAAAGTAGCTAAAATGCAATTCTAATAGTCAAACATCCAGTAATCAGCCTGCCTTAATCTTTCATGTCTCCCAAGCATCCTCCAAAGACTATGACCTTGTCTCCGACAAGCGTCGCCGTATGACCAAACCGTGCTGAGGGTTTGTCTCCCTTGTCACCCTTCTCCACCACCGACTTCACCTTACCACCCATCTTGAATGACCACCGACTTCACCTTTCTCCACCACCGACTTCACCTTTCCACCCACTTGTGCTGATGTCCGACGATGTAATGATTGTTCTACTTGATGGGGCAGCTTGTTCTGGTTCTTTCTACTTTGGCTGTTCTTGTTCATGTTCTGCACTTAATAGTGATGATTCTGTTTTCTTCCTCGATCGTTGTTCTATCAAATAGTTCTGATTGCTTCTACTTGAATCCCTTCGAAGAGCAGTGGTTTGTACTCAGACGCATGCCATGCAACCTCGAGTTTACTTGAGAAGCATAATTTTTTCTTGAAGAAAGATGTTGTAGGCGGGCGCAAATCGGCAACTCCTGTGCTACTCGGCTTCAGAATCGTAGGTCGATCTCCTGACAAGGCGCGTACCACGACCTGTGTTGTAGTACGATAGCCGTAATGAGTCCGAGTCGCGACGTGGTTGAAGTCATTGTCAGAACGAACCGCAACTCGACGTTAGACGAGTCCCTCCACGCTCGCGAATGCCTCTAGCGGGCTACTCCGTCTCCCACCATGGCGCCTCCACTCGTGGGAGACTTTGTCATCTCGACGCACGTGGGAGACTTTGCAAACAAGCACAGCGAACCACCCGGTTGTGGCGCGACCATCATTGTTTGCTTTCATGTCTAAGTAGATACTGTACTCCTCCAATTACAATAGCTAGTCATGATAAAATACAGCACTCGTCTCGGACAGTCCGCTCTACGTCCTCTCTATTCTCTCATTCCACCCCCTCGTCTACCTTCTCTCACCAACATTATGCCTGCTAGAGCAAGAAATCTATTTTTCTTGTCGAACAACCTTTGGTAGCATCCCTTCCAAGCTGCAGGCTCTGGTGTCCTTCACAAGCCTACACCTGCTCCTTAGGCTAAAGAAAACAAGGATCTTCGCTTTGTTGCCCTTTTCTTTCATTTTTGCTATCTTCATCGATCGAAACGTTAGCCCGACATTAACTTGTTGATGTCATACCAGCATAGCAATACAACTTAAACGAATCATCTTAATCATCTGCAACTGAATGTCTTCATGACACACAACATTGACATCATGAGTCGTGTGCTGTCATGTTCAAATAAACCTACAAAAATATTTCCTGAAGATAGCAAATTGATTTCAATTTAAATTGTAAGATGTGAGTTTTCGTTTTAGATAGCTAAGTCATTTTGGTGATAGCACTGATGGATTAGTGAGAAAATGATCGAATGTAGCAAAAGTACAAGATGACAATTTGAGATTAATAAAAACTCTGTAGAAGAGGTGCAATCTTCTTCTGTAGGTAATTCAAGTTAGTAGTAGAGACCTACAAGTACAGGTAATCAAAAAAGAAGGGTAAACCCCGCCAGGCTTCGGAGAGGAAGATATGATCTCAAGAAGAAGTTAGGGACAAACTCCTTGGTGAGATGAAAACGTTGGAACTACTACAATCAACGTAACCTGTACCGCCCTAGAACTGCACCATTACTGGTACTACATACTAGATTCATCTACCAATCCCCACCGCCAGCGCCGTCATTGCGGCGGGCGCGGGGTACTGGACGGGGCGGCGTCGGTGGTCGGACCATCGTTATCTTGTTGTCCCAATTATCTCCGGTGCGGTGCTTTCCCTCATCAGGGTAGATCAGCTTTGGCACTATCGTCAAATCCCTTCTTACAAAAAGCAAAGCCCCAGCATTCTTGTGGTGGCCACAATAGTCGGTAGCACTGAGAAGGATAAGAGGTGAGTGGAAACTCTTTGGGTTTCATCATTTACGTCCTATTTATACTTTCGTTGTGCATGTTCGTTGTACATCATGCAACTAATTGAGAAATCTTGATCTTCATCATATGGATACATACCAATTGAATCACATGAAATACCTGAACAGCGTGATCAGCTTCCCGCTTGCGAAGCGCTCAAACCCATCCATGACGCACTCGTGCGCTCGGATTAACATTGAGAGAGGGCTATTCCTCCTAAGGAATTCCTCCACGCGATCAGGTCCAAATTTGACTATTCTACCCGTTCCATCCGGATCTCGTGTCTCATTACTCGTGACACCTTTGACAGAGTCGGAGTCTGATGGATCCGACCACAGCAGATCGGTCACTTTTTGCTCGGCAGCGTTCTGGATAAAGTGGTGGAGAGGTAAGCGACAATGGTAAAGATGAAAAGACCACTGTGATATTATGGTGAGACGCTGATATTCGTCTGGATTCATGTTCAAAATTCTATCTTTAATAATGATCGGCAAAAGTCGAGGGCTGACGTCAGGGTTTTAAGGGGGAGCAAGGAGAACCACAAGGGGCACAAAAACCAGGGCCAGGGCTCTCAGAGTTTTAAGGGGAAAGCCAGGGAATCTCAGGGTTGCCAGGGAGGGCTAAATCGCGGTCGGGTCAGGGTTTGGCATCTCAGGGTTTGCAAAAATGGGCACAAAAGTCAGGGGAGACGCTGATATTCGTCTCGATCGATTCTTTCAAGAATTGGAAGGATTCATGTTCAAAATCTAGACATAACAAATAGCTCTTAACGCCATAAAGAGAAAGTCGCCATTATTATATATGAATTATTATATTATCATTATTATTTGGGGAATATTATCATTATTATTATATTATCATTATCATTATTATATTATATATATAAGTACCTGTGGAATTTGAGCGACTTTGAGTGGTCTCGGCATCTCTGCTATTTCTGAGATACTTTCGATTGAGCCGCCAATGCCTCCATGGATACAGAGGATCCGACCTTCTATTACAGCTCCACATGGCAACCACTCAAATATCGTGTTGAACATGTACCAACAACTATCAGGCTGCTCAGGATCTTCATTACTTAGAAGGTGGAAAAGACGAAGCTTCGATGATTCTACTAGTACCTTAGGGACTCTCTCGACGTAGAATGCTGAAACGATCACTTTTAACACCATTCAAGATGCTACACTCAATCTACCATGGATGTTGTCGACGGCATGTCAGATTGATTCTAAGAAGTCCTGGTGCTGATCATTGAAACAGCTAAAAAATCAAATATCAAGTCGCGAATGCGTAACTTCAGTCTTCTTCGGCACTCCTCTCGAAAGCCGTAGATTCCATTGATCGTTGGATCTTCATGATTCCCTCGGATCATATGAATTTGGTACGGATGCTTTATCTTCAACGCTAGCAAGAGGCATATCTGAGGTGAAGAAATGATGGAGGATGGCATGATTGGTAGGCCAGGTTACAGGGGTCACCCTTGTCCTTCACATCGAGGGAGAAACAAAGAGGCCAAATACAATTAGCACAGGAACAACAAGTACGAACCCCCCCTCCCGGCTCTTGCAGCTCACTAGTGTCAGGAGCTCGAGGACATAAACCCCGGGAGGCTTTGGGGACTAGTTGGGAAAAGAGCGGCAAAAGGCAACCACTTCGCTTCTTTTGATGTCGATGCCGATGGGGCTAAGACGGCAAAACCGAGAAGGTCAACCTTTGGCATCGATCTACATGCAAAGGCAACACCTACCTGCATCTGCATGGCCAAGCCTAGGAAGATAGAAACCAAAGCGAGACCAGGGAGAGAATCGCACACGTCTGGACCATCGGCGGCCAGCTTCTTCTCTTTCCTGCATGTCGCCAGGCGCGAAAGCAAGCGCAGGAGCTTCCCCGCGACTGGTTCTGGTTCTGCATCGCAGTGCCCAAGAGAGGCCCAGGGCAATCAGGCGGGACGCCCTTGAGTACACGCGGCCAACTTCGACCAGTAGCCCTCTGGCGTCATCTCCCGAGGGAGTGGCTATGCGCCAGGGAGGGCCTCCTTCGATCGGCTGAGAGGAAATCGCAGCCATGTATGTTGCGCAATTGAAAGGTTATCAACTACCCCCGCTCTACTAATAGTACCACTTCCAAGCTGAAGCTTCCTCTGTCGACGTAATCCCCCAAAAATAGGTAATCCATCGCATCAAGATCGCCGTTTGCCGTAGGATCGTCTCTTGGACACTTGTATCTAGAGAATAAGCGCATAAGATCGACGAACTGCCCGTGGATATCCCCGTATACTTTGATAGGGGCACGACACTGGAGTAACATCGGCTCCTTCTTGAATATTGGCAGCGCCTCTTGACACAATTGATAACACTCGGCACAATTCAAGACAAAGTCGTCACTATTCGCAGGTGGTGCCCAGTCGTCCGGACGGAGGAGGAGATTGATGACCTGGAGGCGGTTGTGGATAGAAGATCATTTCATTGTATACATCACATGTTCAAGCTATTGATATGATGGAAAGCAAAAGTACCCATTTACCTCCAGTACCTCAAATCGCATTACATAAATCAGACCAAAAGCGAACGACGCACAGATAGTTCAAAACGACAAACAAACGACCCCTCGTAGAAGTGCGAAATACCGAATCCGCCAGCGACTTCGATTCGTTCTGCAATACGTTTTGGTGTCGGTTCTCTAAATGTATTTTCCTCCCCTCATCCTCCAAGGTTTCTAATGCGACTTGCCGGACTAGATTGGTGAAATCGCGCTCGTGTGATATGTACACTTGATTTGATATCCGTATGCCCTCTACTGGAGGTTGCGCCAGGGTGGATTTGGAATTAGAAGCGGATTCGTAAGGAGCTATCAACAGAATTGTGCTTTGCTACTGACGGCATTGATGTGTGTGAAGTGCCAAGGTTTTTCTTTACAACTACAAGGATAGTTTTCTTGACTACCTGGTCGGCGCTCGCCCGTCTATCTCTTCACCAGCGGAATCTAAATGTATGTCTTCCTCTTCGTTAGGGGTATGCAAATCTATCTCGGCATTGAGCAGTCTACGATTCTATTAGGGGTATCTAAGTCTATTGTTTGAGCAACAACATAACTGTTGCCCGTATCGCCACCTCCTGTCTATTTTCCCGAGCTTCCTTCTGCTGCGATCCGCTCCTCTCCTTTCCTCTAGCATTGTCGCCGCTACCCAAATCGTCTAAATGCTTCGGCTGTGATGAAGCCATGCTACCAGTGGAGACACCTGCTTTGAAAGATGAAGCCATGCTACCAGTGAAGACACCTGTTTGGATCTTAATGAATTCGCTGATGGTGTCAAGCAGTTAGGTCTAGAAGGACAGGGGGAGCCTACTCGCATCCGGCTAATACTACAACTGCCACTACTAATACTACTACTACTGCATCCTGCAAAGAAATAGACGAACAGTATCCACTTTTCGGTACCAAGCTCTGTGAAAGCAGCGTCCAAGTCCATCACTTGGAGGTCGTTGGTTGGCGCACTCGGCGACTTATGATCGAAACCTCCGTAACTATAGAGCTTTTCGTGTATAAGCCAGCAGAAGTGCCGAAACCGGTTTATGCTCGCGATCTGGAGTAGACGCGTGTGAAAAGATTCGGCAAGTTATGAATATGATAAAGAATGAAGAGAGAGGTTGCGTGACGTTGCATGACATTTTGAATTATTTGTGCTCGTGCATGTAGATCATACATGCAGTTGCAGAGCCTAATGTTTAGAAGTCAATAATATCTTCAAAGAACAAATACATTTTTCCATTCGCATGTCTCCGTGTCGTAGACTGCAGTAGGAAGTGATTTATTCACGTCCGAGCCTCTTCCACCAACTATCAGCAAGCGGGAGTTGTAAAAGATACAACTATGCTGAAACCTCCCCTCCGGCTGTCCTCCCTTTTTTGTTGGCGCCTCTACCCAATCCCACCTTCCGTCCCGATGCTGCCGTAGTCCCCAGATATCTTTCAGGGACCTGACGATGTTTGGCCGATTTCGATGCTTCAAAAACTAGACGGATCTACATCTAGATCTTGCATGAAGACGTCAGAACGTCAACATGATCAATCAACAGAATCAGAAAATAGAAGATAGAACGTAACAAGTTTAAGTTACTTATTCTCCGCAGTCCTTCCACCAAAAATGACCATCATGCCTGCCGCTGGCCCTTCCCTACATACTTCTGCTGAGTGATAAACGCGCGCAAGAGGTGCTTTGGTGCCGTTTACTTTTACTTCACTCCAAGCAAATGGCGCATGCTCCACATCTAATATCCAAATGTCGTTCTCCGCCGACTGTCCATTGTTACCACCACACACTATCAAAAGAGGCTTGTTGAAAACCATTGTGTGACCTGGTGGGAAATGTAATGCTTGTGGTGGCCGTGCGAATGGATAGGAGGGTAGAGTATTTGTACGTATGTAGTTATGAAGGATTTGGGAGGATGCGCATCTGTATGTGTGTTTTTTCAACGCAAACTGTAGCACCATATCTCCTCCCTGGGGTGCCACCCATCACTGGAACCGACATCCAGTTCGCCTCGCCCCTAAAATCCAACAAATATAGCTCTTCCGAACTCAAACTTCCTCCACCAGTGGCTCCGCCGTAAACTACAAGCTGACTTTTCTTAGAGGAGGATGAACGATGAAGAAAAGGCTTTCAAAACATAGAGTGGAGTGGAGGAGGACAGGAGATGCTACTTTATTCTTGTTGAAGTCTTCTTCTAGAATGAACAAGTAATCAGACATCACATTTTGATTGACGTAGGACTAGGATAAGGCACTCATCAAGTTCTTGTTTTCTTCCATAATAGTATCAACACATGCAGCGGCGTGTGCTGCTCTTGCTGATGGTGGGGGAACGTCGCCAGGTACTGGATGTACTTGTGACCACACCATTGTCTTCGTATTCAGACAATACGTATCCGCAGTTATTGTATAACGACCTAGGGGTTGTGATCGTTGTTGAAGTTCTTAGGAGGTGGAAGTAGTCAAAGTGATATTCATCTTTCCCTATTTCTACTCGTGGAAAGAGACTGAATTGATCTCTCCTTAAATTCTAGTGGTCGCTTACAGATTTAGAATCCAGCAGAAAAAATAAGATACTCACAGCATCTGACCAGTTCCAGTAACGCAGCGAATTCCAGCAAATTCAAATACCTGAATCCCCCGTGGCCCCTCCGAAGAGGATAAGACGGTTTTGGCCTATGAGGGTTGCCGTGTGTCCAAACCGAGGAGCCGGGACCTCCCCATTCTCCTCGGTTATTTTCCTTGCTTCTACCATCTTCGTACCTTCTTGCTGCGCCATCTAGGACTGGAGCAAGAACGCGGGATCCTAAGGGCTACAGCGAGACCGGAGGACTAGAACCACTACTTCCACCAACGGACTAGAACCCGACGGACTCCTTCCACCGATAAGGCGACCTTCGGATTACTTCATTCAACGAAGAACGCCTTTTCTTTCCCAAGATTAGATGTACTGTTTTTCGACCGAAAAGATCGATGGGGATAAGCGAGTGAACGTCTTCTTTTACTGGTGCAAGGCGCTATGCTGTATTATGTAAGAAGTTCTTTGATCTTCTTCGTTCGAGGTACAGAGCGGCGCTGAAGATGCGTAGTGCTCAAAAATAGAGAAACGTGGTAACTCTGCAGCGAGAAACAGCGGGTTGGACTTGAAGGAGAGAAGAGGGTACTGGAACTTGAATTTGACGATCAAGTAGTTTTGCAGATGCAGGTAGTTTCCGAAATGACAAAACTGGTGGTTGTTGTGCGGCTTTGGCTCCTACAAGATAGTTAGTAGTTCTTCTCGGTTGTAAAATTCGTTGTGTCTTTCTAGAGGGTAGTGGGGAATGAGGCAGAGGAGGTTGGTGTCAAAAACTTCAAGATTATTCGTCGGCGCGTGTGCTAGAACGGCGTTGTCGCAAAATTGACGTGCGAACGTGGAGAAGAAGCGGTCGGCCACTGCCTACTATCTCCTAGTTGTTTCCTTTCTCCTCGTCTTATTCTCGAGCACTCTATGATCTTATCCGGTTTTCTAGTTCGATACACCTGCGCCAGCACTTTCCGACTTCTTCTGGCCGCAACACGTGCAAGCAGTGGTATTGTCTTGCTGCTCTTGTCTCGATCGTCTACTGAAACAACAACAGCATTGCTCGTCCTTCCAGACGTCGTCCCCACAACCTTCGGCTCACCAGGTGGTGCTACTGCACCAGCACTTGCAGCAGACTCGTTCGATTCGTGCTTCTCCACTTGTTCTTTATGCCACGAAGATAGTCGTGAGCATGCAGAAGAAGAGCTAGACGAGGAAGACGAGGGAGAAAACCCGTCCCAGGACTCAAAACTGCGATAGGCGCAGAGAGGAAGAACCCTTCCCCGCCCTTCCTTCATCCCCGTGTAGCCGCTCCATCCAACCTCTCCTCTCTTATTTCAGAGAGAGACGAAATAAATCTTTACTTCTTGTGGTTCTGGTTGGTCTCCCTAGGTTGGAGGAGGTCTTCCTAATAAGAAGTAGTTGTTGTAGTCGTGCTCGTGAAGAAAGGGGCTAACATAATTTTAAAACGTCATTTAATCTCACAAACTACTTGTTCTAGTACGATAATATCGTTATCTACTACGTTTGTATACCACTTGGGCTTGTTATCGATCCAAGAAACTAACTACTATCGACCACAGACTCTCTTGTGAAAAACTTGAAAAAAATACTGGTACTTCAACTCAACTGCCACTGCGCTGAAAATGCAAGGAGTTTTTCATGATTATATGTTGCGTTCAAAAAAAGACAGTGGGCCCCAGGGAAAAATTCAGAAGTTATGACAGCATCGCGCTTACTTCGCGCGTACGAGTGAGTGAGCAGAAGTATGCGAAGTAGAGAGACATTCGCCCTCCAATGAATTAGCGCAAAATTCTTGCCAAGATCTGTTGTCCAAATACTGATTTCCTAGTCACGTGATGTTCAAAGGGAGTCACCACTATTGAAGAATGTGCTAGTCTTTGAATCAATCGTCCTTAGAAAAAAACCCAAGAAAGCCAAGGCATCAAGACAGGACATAACCGAAAATCCAGAATGACAGATTCTCCTTCACGAACATGAATCAAGCGGCAAATTGAACATCTTCAAGCGGCGGCCGCTCACAACAGCAATGGCTTTTTATAGGCTGTCGTATGATTTGGTGGAATAGCACATAGAAATTGCGTTACAGTGAAATCTCTCTCAAGGAAGTTTCGGAATGGGTGCGTCGTTGTAATTTCACCCTCCATCACCTCCGATAGTGATTAGGACGATACGTATGAATGGTCTTTATCAACTACGCGTAGTGCTACTGTTATTTCGGGTACTATGGGAATGAGGAGTATACGTGCACGGTGGCAATGAGGAATGCTATCGTTCTCCCGTAGTTTACTCTGTGCAGAACTATGACACTTTCGAACAATGAGTAAGTACACAAAAAGGATTCAAATATCGCGTGTATGTTATTTTCTCATGTACGAGATCCATGCTACTCGAAAGGAGTAGTTCACATATTCTGACGCTTGTATCATACTTTTTCTAAGTATCATCTTATGTCCACCTCTTTTAGAAATGATCCACTCCTATGTCCTACGTAAGTACATACTACTTATCTATTCCTAATCCTAGTAGTAGTTCAGCGAATTTTACGCTGTGTTAAATATACGATTGCCTGTATCAGTTTGTCCTACACCTTTGTATTTGTTTTCGGATACACGTAACGTGACGAGTTCCACATTCATGTTTCGCAGGCGCTGCATAAAATCACTGCCTTCACTCAGGCTTTCTGCTTGGATTACACCGGTTGTGACGATGATTTTCAGTTCCTCTATCTGTGCCACACCTGTTTTTTGCCGCTGCTCATATATGTGCTCCACAAACTCGATAATTGTTTTGCCGCTGTTAATCACAGAATCTACGAACACTATGATACTCTTATCATCTGACAGACAGGGCGATTTTTCGCGATTCACTAGTTCTTGTTTAGGGTATTTCAAGAGTTCTAGACTAACATTGTTCTGATTCGCTGATGTGCTGTTGTTTTCCAAGGTCGTAGTTGTCCCCGCCAATGCACTGCTTAACCCTAGACGTTTCCACACTCCTAATGCCAATCCTAGTCCCGCTCGCATGATCCCCACAACAGCGATTTTCGTCGTAGGCACTGCAAACCCAGTAGCCTTCCGACCTTGTACATGTGGGATTTCGCAGTGCTCGACTCCAATACAGCAGTCTAAAATCTTCTCGGCCAAAAATTTACCCGCTTCTTCGTGTACCGAGAGGAGATCAGGGCCGTTGCAGTTTGCATTGCGCATCCTAGTAGAGAGTTCTTGACAACTTGGAAAAGAAGTGCCATCGAAGAGGAGACGAGGAAATGAAGAGGATAACCCTAATAAGGATGTCGTCGTTACAGTTGTCGACGGGGTTGATGTCGTCGAGGTTGAGTTAATATGATGAACGGTTTTTGATCCATTGGCGGTACTGCTAGTAGTGCTTGGTGCCTTTGTCTTGTTCGTCATCTCGTTCTTCTCCAAGTCCTCCGAATAATACTCAAGTTCTCGTTTCAGCAGTAGTTTCTCTAGACCTCCAAAAACCGCTTTTTTCACGTCCTTCATTGTATTAGAGGTAGGTTTTTGGTGCTCGCTTACCCCGCTTTTTATGCCTTTCTCCCTTAGGAGAGGCATAAAAAGCGGTAAGAAAAGCACCTTTAACCTACCCTTAATTGTACCCTTTTCTAAGAAATCGAACAAGTCGATATTGGAGCGGAGGTGTTGGTGATTCCCTCCTTGTGGCATCGATAGTTGTAACTTCTTGATCTTGCCTTGCTGGCCAAAGTGTTGTTGTGCTGAGGCAGCTTTGTCTTGGACTTCTCTCAACGAATCTGGAAATGCAGTAGAGCGACTGGAACTGACGACTGCAAAACCATAATCTGACGCCATCAGCATCGGCACGTCCAAGACGCTGTCACCAAAGGAGACAATTCGGCACCCGGCTGTTGAGATGTCGAATTGGGGAATCATCATGACATATGATGGAATGATATGGCTGCTTCTTGTTGATTTTTGAACAAACTTGAATACTGTGAGGATGAAGATCATAAATAAACTAGTAGATCTGGCTCAAGGTCAAGATCAACCTGATCCGAGTAAGTTCGTCCGATCCCGATCCCCAAAGACTAACAGCACTAGGATCACTATCCTGATGATGAACACAACAAGACAAGTCGTTTCACGATCCTTGCCTTCTAGTCCTAGTCGTTAATCCGGAAGAACCAGCGAGCGTGTTTTTAGGTACAGATCAAACAAAACCAAAGGTCTAAGATAGGTACGACTCCTTCTCCGCATCCCTTCCGCCACCAATTTTTTCACGTGATGGTCCACTATCAAGGGCTTACTTCCATTTACTCCAAGATCCGTCCCAACCACTCTAAAATTCACAGCACTAGGGAATCTTTCACGCAAAATCAGATCCCACACGTCTTTAGGACTGCAGGTAACTACCACAACAGCAATACTTTTTGCTGGACTAGAATTTTTTGCAACAATGTTGATGTCGGAAACGGAATTGAGAAGTTTTTCCAGTTCAGGGTACAGGTCGACTTTGCCAGCTACTACGTGACACACTTCTTCGTAGGAAAGTAAAGGTGGTGAAGAGGAGGGGTCGTTCTCATGTTCTGCTCCCTCTCTGGATTTACTGCTGGCAGTGGTCCAAGAACAGCGACCCGGCGAGCCTGTACTACTTGAATGCTCATCATCATCTTTTAGCGCTTCTGGTAGCTTTTCCTGCTGGTTGAGATTACATCGTCGTTCCAAGAAGTGCTCTTCGCCGGCCTTTGCAGCGGGGTAGATATTTTTTCCTTCAGCGCAACCTTGATACAGCTTTGCCGCTTGTAAAAACTCCCCGTAGTGATAATCTTGGGTGAAGACTTTTTTCAGAGGCGACGTGCTAGTGGTTCTTGTAGTGGAGGTAGTAGTACCACGTAATTCTTTGTTCAAGTCTTGTTGGACGATGTCCCAAAACAGAGCTCCCGTATCTGAAGGCGAAAGCGTCCGGTCCGCATCAAACAGAAGCACAACATCAGCCCCTCCTGAAGGAAGTACTTCGTCTAGCTTTTGTTCCAGGTGCACTTCGGAATTCTGCTTCTGGTGCAAGGTGAGAAGTCGCGTTTCTATCACTTGTTGCAAGTCTGTTGCTCTTCTTGCCGTGGACAAAGACTTCGATATTGGATCTACCACACGATCATCACGCCCGAAATAACCCTTCGCAGTCGTTGTACAAGGAAATCCAGCACCAAGAAAAGCAGAGATGCTGGTCGATTTCGACGTAAGGTGAGGATTCAACATCAAATCGTGGTCTTTCGAGTCTCTGGCTGTAGTACTCGTGACCTTCAGAATCTCGACTCTGTCTTCACCAAAAGCTTTCAACAAAAGTTCCTTCTCAAACTTGATCCATTCTTGCAGTTTCTGTCTTTCTCTCCTGCCAGTAGTAGTAGAGTCCAACATGTTGGTGTTGATCATGTTTCGTATACGTTTTCCGCTTTTCATGTCTGCCTCACACCTTGTTCGTACGATGTCCGGGCACACATCGAGATAGATAATGTGTGTGTAGATAGCAAGATCTGCTTTCGTCAGAACTGTTTCAAAAGTTTCATCTTGTTTGTCTGTCGTACTATATGAAGTTGTTGTTGTTCGTGCAAGATCTCTGGAAGTAGTTGTAGTAGCAGTTAGTTTGGTACAACTAGATGCCTGTCTAGGAAAAGCGCAATGTCCCGCAACCACTGCAATAGCACCTTTACGTTTTGCTTCATCCGCGATCTCACGCATGGCCATCTCCCGAATCCAAATTTTGGTCGAGGCAGGTAAAGTCTTGAAGTATTGAAGAAGTTCTTCGCTGCTCCTCTTGGAGGTAGCTGGTTCTTGTACGTCATTCCCATTTCTATCCTTGTTTTGTAAGAGTTCTTCGTTGCTTTCCCCTGCCATCGTGCTTCTGTCTTCATCTTGGTCCAACTTGTATCTCCGGAGAGTGCCTCTACTATCCTGGTTGTAGAACTTGTCATATTTCACAAGAACGCTGCAAATTTTGCTGGATCCATCAAACAGCAAGAACTGCGAAGAACCGTATTTCACCCGCAGGTTTTTGAGAATGTGCGTCTTGCCGGAACAGGAGATGCCATACAGACCGAGGACAATGGGCTGCTGCTGCTGTATGGTTGTTTTTGTAACTTCAAATTCCGACAACGTGCATTTGGTGTTCGGATGTTGAACAAGAACAGGTGAACAATTACGACCAGAAACCGTTCCGTTGATGTTCCTGATCTTCAGATTCAAAATGTCTGTCCACCGCTCCACCCCGACTACATTTTCTAACTCCTCGAGCTCCTGCCAAACTTCACGCAACAGCGCTTCACCCGCATCATTCACAGGTTGACGCGCTGCGACTGCATCCTTGGCAAGAATGAGCAACGTATTCGATTCCTCTCCTAGTTCTCGGCTAAGGCGCTGTACTGATGTCCGGACGCAACTAGTCAATGTAAGACCGCAAACCAAGATGCGATTGTAGTTGTTCCACAAACGGTTTTGCCGGATACTGCAGTCGTATACATGATCGCAGATCGTCGTCTCTCCGAGACCCAAAAGGACACCAAGACCCATCAGACTAGACAAAGAACAGTCCGTGATGTCGTTGCTGTACTTGATGAGGCGTGAAAGATGGGGACGTTCTCGAGAACAAGTAGTCCTTTCTGAGTTCACACGCGCTGCTCGAGCACTCTCCGGACACAACGACGGTATGTCATCCCCTGAAGAGACTCCAAAAGACTTTTTCAGGGCATCCGCAACTGGCCTAGCTACTCTCCGTCCATTCGCAGTAGTACAAAGATTTGCAAGAGGAGATGGCACACAGCACGCTTTCAATGCATCTTCTTCGCCGATTAGTGGTCCTGAATGACATGCGTTTGATGCATCTTCCCCTTTTACTTGCTCGTCTGGTTTTGCTGTGCCTGTTGTAGAACCAACAAACTGATTCACCCGGTACTCACTCTGCACTACCAGAATCCAACCAACTTTCCTCCCGCCACTGGCCTCAGCAAAAAGTTGTGGTACTTCGTGATGGACTAGATCGTGCAGAGGACGACAAGCATCGGGGCCAAATTCACGTACAAAAGCACCATCGCAATTCACGAAGTCCTCAACAGGATCGATCAGAATGATCCCACTCAGAGGAGCAGGAGGAGGAGAAGGAGGCGAGCTAGATGACATGTCCATTTTTCTTCGGTGGGTCGATATAAAGGTGAAAATCACTTTTCTGATCAAAAATTGAGTTTTTCTTGGTTCACGGAACAATCAGTTGACTAGCACAAAGCGTCAAGCTTGTCATCTGTTTACTTATCTTCTTGTGGTACTTATGTCATCAACTGCTTGATGTTGTCTTTACGTTATAAGTCTTACTTCCGATCATGGGAAAAACGAAAGTACATCTCATCGTCTCTGAAAATTGTAACCCTAACGAGCTCCTGCGGCGTAATCTTTCGAGAGTCAACACTTCAGACCTAACTATACCGATCCTCGAGTTCTTTGCTAGCTTACAATGGAACCGTATACATTCCTCTTCCGTTTGTTTTTTCAGTGGAACGGATTAAGGCCCAACGCTCATACAAAACAGCGGAAGCGCTTTATTGCGCTTCTTGCACTTCCATTTCATGTCATGCGTGCATCTCTAGTGATTATTCAACCTCACTGGTGAGATGAAACAGTTCCTGGAGCGGTTATAAAACGAGCTGAGGAAGCGTGGACCCTAACCAGGAGATAAACAAGAGCTGTCCAAGATGAGATGAAAAGTTCACTCCTGGTTCGTCGCTTCGCATTATGGCGACTCAGACACCACCTTTGATCTTTTTCAAGTGTCAACTTCAACACTTCAGTAAACCTATAATACCGATCCTAGTCATTAGTCTGCGGCCGCGAACTCGAACACTTTGTACTAATTCCTCGGTAAGACCTACTACTCAACATCTTCTAGCGGGATGTATTAGTTTGTAATTCGTTCCTTGCAAAAAAGTCATTAGCCTCACAACATGGGGAATGCTTCAAGTCTCCAGGCTATGCCTATATGCCGTTCTTCATGTTCATCAATAGAGTACCACTTTGAGTTTGCTTCCTCTCTCTCCCCCCCTCTATCTGGCTGAACAGAGCCACCAAGCTCAACTGGAAAAAGAGCAGCATTCTTAGATAGTACAGAAAAGATCGTCACAACCGATTTTAAACAAAGACTCTGACCTCCATACTTACCAGAAAATCAAGACTTTTTTTTGCTGTCACAACCGCAATAGAAGAGTTGATACGCGAACAATAGTCTCCGTCACATGAAGACGAAGACAGGAGGCTCCCGCAACATGTGAAGATTTGTGAATTCCCCGCGGGAGAGGACGTGCCTCCAGATGGAATTCTCTGTCCTCAACAAGCGCAGCCTTCATGCGCAGCCTTCAACCGGAAAATTTTCTTTCGTATTTCCTCAGAGTTTTAAAAACTAGAGGACACGAAGACGAAAACCATTATTCCTATGTCTGAATGAATACCTCCACAACATCAGAACCTTGGTATAAACTATCCCAACAATATAACCCATGAAGAATGTACTCCAACCTTCACTCCAAGTTCTCCAAAAACTGTCGTACTTTCGTAAAAAAGGATGCACGCCACACGACTTCGATGTCATTGTGCCCACCATGATAGACCCACCATGGTGTCGCTGGTCGTCTACATGCCTCAAACAACGCTTTGCCATGGTCGATAGGCACTTCTTGGTCATCCGTACCATGAATACAGAAGACAGGACATTCGACGTCAGTGGTTAGAGGAAGGAAGTGCTGAGAGGCGTATTTGAACTATAGAAGATTCATTGAAGTGTAAGATTTTTGATGACACGTACTTCAGACGCCACTTCAGACAGTTTTTAAGAGATTCTCCAGTGAATTCATGCGACTTCGGATGTATATTATACTTACTAGAGGTTCAAATAAGCTATTTTTAAGCTCTTGCCTTACCTTGATCTTGTTAACGTTCTGGAAGACGTCGTACCAAGGTGAACTCTGCGCTTGGGCGTAGATGACTGAGAGTCCGGACTTGATCGCGCTGTGCAGGATTACTCCTCCAACTGCATGCGACAGCTGACTTGCAAGATCAATCGTGGGTGCTGAACCGACCGACTGCCCATACAGCACGATATCTCTCGGAGAGATTCGCCGTTCCTCCGCTAGATGGTAGTAAACAGCCTGGATGTCGCTGTAAAGGGCTCGCTCACTGGGCTCTCCGGTTGAGAGCCCGTAACCAGAGTAGTCGTAAGCGAGCACGCTGACGTCGCATTTGTAAGCGATATCCTTGAGATGGAAGAACATCAGGCCAATATCCGTAGAATTGCCATGCGAGAAGATCACTGTTTTCTTCGCCGCAGCTTTGAGCATTAGCGCTGTCAGTCTTGACGTCGATTTTCAACGAAGGATGAAGCAAAACATGTTGTCATGACGGTATGGCCCGCTCTTCTTTTAGTGCATCTACTGTCTAGCTTTCACTTTATCGAGTTCTTTTGTCCATCTGTCGTAACTTAAAATAGAACCCATGTATGCAATTCCCAGTCACAGTAGAGAGTTTTAGATGCTCCACTTCTATTCCAAAGTTCCGCAGGTCAGGCAAAGGCTCTAAAATCGGCACTCCAATCTTTGATGTGATACCCAAAACAACTTTCTCGGTGAAAGGCCCGCCGGATGATGAGGTGCCTGTAGTATGTGGGGTGGGATGGAAGATATAGTCTAGTACCTGGTGGTCTTCTGAGGATTATAAACAAGATTCAGATTCAGATGAACATTTCAATCTTTATATTTCTGTTTCATGCCATCAAGAATGGATTTGAAACGTATTGATTTTGATGATGATGAATATATTCAACAATAACTGAAACAAGCGAGTAACTACTTAAAATAAGGGAGATACTGAAAGAAGAGGAATGGAGTCAAGACTCTTTTACTTCACTCAGTAACTCGCATATTTTCAGTTTTCGAGTACAGCTATTGTTTTCAAGACTTAATGATAGTACTCGCTTCCCGCTTCATGAAGTATCCTGCTGGTCTTGGCGGAAAAAACGCCACCTTGTTCACGATAGTATGCTTCACTCCAGGCACTGCCATCAGACAACCCAAAAAGCACATGACGCCATCACAGCCTGCAGTTGGCCGTCTACGAGTCGTTGTCGTTTCCACCACTGCGCCATCATCTCCCACCTCTGTAGAACTAGTTCCTCCCACCTCTGCTGGCGTCAAAAAATCGCTAGGTGGATTGCGCGACAACAATTGAGGTGAAGAACCTATACTGGCGATACTAACACCTGGACCTGCGTTTAGACAGAGCCCTGAACCTCCGGGGGCGATACTAACACCTGGACCTGCGTTTAGACAGAGCCCCGCTTCCAGCTGCCCCGCTCCAGCAAAACTACTCCGTGGCACACTGTATTTTTCTGCAGCGTTTTTATATCCGCTAACGGAGCTCGACGAGAGGCCGATTGTCTCGGGCATTCTTGTTGTATATTTGATCTGTCTATGATCCAGAAGCAGTAGTAGGACTTTATCAATGCCAACTTTTTTTAGATACTTTGAAGGATTAGGCCTCTTTGCTGTCTTTGTCGGTGTCGACCTTTTGCAGTGGACAATATCGCTCGCATATTTGACCATTTTAATATGACCACTTTCCGGGGTAGGTACAAGTGGTATCTCCAAGATGAACAAATCCACGATATTGCCTGTCCAATATCCGGCGCACGTTTTCCAGAGCAGGAAAGGTTTTTTTGTATATTTTTGAGCTTGACCAAAGCCGAGGAGCGATGTTCATTAAAAAAGGTGCAAATCTCGCTAGAGAGATTGTCATTGTCTAGCAAAAAATCGTTGTTCCTATCCTTGCATCACCACATCTGCGTTCTTTGTTTCCCATGACAGCGAGTTTTTTGGAGGTCGTGGTATAATAGAATAAGTATAACTGAGGAGAAATCTAGTTAATTGCATCATCTTGTGACAAAGCTTTGTAGAACAAACTGAGGTGCATGAGAATATTGCGAGTTAGTCATTTGAGGAGATGTCTTCATGAATAAGCCTGTTTGGAAACAACTTTTTCTTTCTGCGTCTCGTGAAGAGCGAAACATTTTCTACCACTCAAGAGTTCTTTAGAACTGCTTCAAGTTGTCGACGATAGCGGAGACTGTGCCGTTGGCGTCAACACTCAATTCCAAATCCAAATGGTGGTGGGTCGTCTCGATAGGCACAGTCGCGATCAAGCTGCCGTCAGCCAAGCAGATCTCCATACCGAATTTACCTATAGTATGAATTGCCGTGCGTGCGATTCAAAAGTGTTGTAGAAAGAACAGGTATAATTCGACAAAGTAAATACAACTTATGTAGTACTAAATTCCTTACAGAAACAGGACATACACAAGAAGTGCAAGTTCGTGGGGTAGTTCGTAACAAAATACCCCACTAACTTGCTGTTCTCAAAACAGTACTTGCTGTTCTCGAAAAATCAAATCTGTATCAAAACAGTACCAGGATGGCAAGCGAAGGACTCCTTATGGCTGACCGGGATTGGCACGCCTTTTCTAAGGACCGGATAAAATGCTGATCCATCCTTCTGCTTCATCTTAATTCCGACTGCTTGGGTCAATGTCGTCGCTTCCATGGCAATACCTTTAATAGAGAGGAGTGGTGAAAATCAACGAAATCATAGTCACGAGTGGTTGTTTGAAAGGTGGTTCTTGTTTATAAACTATAAGTATCTTGTTCACTCTCAGTTGTAATTGGCATACTCTTTCAGTTTCACACAATCCTCTGACGAATTAATACCTGCTGGTTCCTCGTCTTCGTCTTCGCCCTCTTCGCATGGCTTCAACGCACACGGCACTTCGAGAGCGCCATTTTCTGACTCTCCCAAGTTCAACAGCAAGTCTGCCTGAATCGCGGCACCGACTGCCACTGCCTCGTCTGCCATAACGCCGTCAAATTTGAGTTCCTTCGCATCTGGGCACTTCTCCGCGAAAAATCCAGATACTGTCTTCTGCACCAATGGCGTATTGCAGCCACCGCCGATGAGGAGGAAGCCGTCAATTGGCTGTTCATTGTTTTCCATTTTTTCCACTACTTCCTCGAGGATTTCGAGCATGTCGGAAACTGGTTGAGCGCCTCCTTCGGTTCCCTTCTGCAGCAAGTCTTCGAACTGTTCTCTGGTAATTTTGGTGAAGAAATCCACATCCCCAAGAAGAGCTTCGACTTCGATGTTCGCGATTTTGCTCATAGTTAGAGCTTTCTTTCCCTTCTCGCAAGCTTCTTTCAGGCGTAAGCTCGCCCGCGCGTCCTTCTTCAGAGCCATAGCGGCTTTTGCGTCTTTGCGTCGCAGGTCCTTGACGCAGTAGTCAAAGAGCAACTCGTCGCAGCTGGTCGAACCCAAAGAGCCAGAACCGCTGGACACCAATGGCGTAAAAAGACCTGAACCTTGGGAAACTGCGACGACGGAGACGTCGAAACTGCTGCCACCAAGATCCACGACTGCAACGTTGCGGACGGACTCGTCCAAAGCCGACTTGTTACAAAATCCTGTAGCCTTGCCACCGTCTCCTGCATTCTCCGTGTTCGGCAAGACGTGGTGGAACTTGCGCAGAAACAAAGCGCTGACATCGGAGCCCTGTGCGATCAAAGCTGCACACGGTTCTTTCAGGAGACGCATCACGCGCATGCCGGATCCCTCGCAGCACTCCTGGATAATCGCAGCCTTGCTGGCGGAAAAATGACCCGGAACCGTAAGGCAGCAGTGGGAGACGTTTTCGCCGAGGTACAAAGATGCGGTTTCCTTGATCTTGCCGAAAACAAGGGTTGCGATCTCCTCGAGCGGAATAGGGCTGTCTGGTTGCCAACTCAATTTGAGAGCGCAAGTCGAAGAAGACGCGGATTGGACGATCTGTGGATGGGGATGTGGATGTATGATGAATAGAGTACTTCAACACCAGCAGGTGAACAAGAATGTTGAACCATGTCTACTAGCTACGACAGCTTCTCAGAACTATAACTCCAATCTATAATTTCATGAAACAAAGAGATTTTCCATTACATGAGCACTCAAAAACAAAATGCAAGCAAATGATACCTCAAGATTCTTCAGCGTTGCTGCATCTGCGATATCCTCTTTTGTAACTTCATCCTCAAATTCCTGCCCCAAGAACTTCTTGAAGCCTCGGATAGTACCTGAGAGAAAGAAAATTTGTAGAATCCACGTCGCTTATATATTCTTCAAGACCGAGAGGAATGTTATCTTTGTACAGGAGACGTGCCTATGCTGTATACTTTCCAAATTCGAACTAAAGCTAGTTTGTAAATTCAGGTTCGCGAATTCTAGAAGCATTCTAGTGTACACCGATCATTGAAGCATTATCTTTCGAAGCATGACTAAACATACTACCTAGTAGAGGTCAACAGAGCAACTACAAAGAAATCACATAATTACAGTGTGTAACGCATACCTGGAAGATTTCTCTCCTTTTGATTGTAGGCTGCATCGCCGACTGTTATTGTGCCATCCTCAGTGTAAGCGACGCAGACTGAGGTCGATCGGTTCCCCATCTCGTTCGGGATGACATCGGTTTGACCAGCCTTGGACATGGCGACGACACATGTCGTTGCGCCGAAATCAATACCAATACCGTAAGTTGACGACATTTTTTAGACTTAGGTTGCAAAGAAATGAAAAATATTTAGAAATACACTTATGTCAACCAACGATGACAATCAAAGTGAAAAAATGAATGAATGAGTGCGCGGCGCGATGAATGCAAAGAACTCAAAAGTAATGCAGTTACAGGTATTGGAATACTCTGTAGTCCTACTTGCAACAATTCCTGTAAAAGGTTTTGGTGAGAGGAATCGTTAGATGGAGTTCCTCTAAAAGGTTTTGGTGAGACGAATCCTTAGATTGAGTTCCTGAAGAAGCAAAATCCAAGAAACAGAGAGTCTGAGGATCGACGTCATTGAAATTCGTACAAGTGGAACATGCAGAGAAAAGATCCGGCTCTACTTTTCAAGAATTATCGTGGATGGTGGATCTGAGCTCCTGTAGAACGAGTCGCAGGTGATCTCTTTGTTTTTCAGTTTGCGCATTGAAGAAAACAGTTCTTGATTCTATTCAAGTAGAAAACACAGTTTCAGAAGCACAGACACCCTTGGCTGTGGCCAGTGAGATGAATCTTTTTCTTTGTCGAAGGTAATAAATTAGGAGGATCGCATTCTAGGGCGTCAACATTGCGGTCGTATCTTATGGTGTTAGCAAAGCTTTTCCAAGTGGATCTACTTCGCCGGTGCTACGATAAAAGACAACAGAATAACGATCTTCTGCTTCTACTTCTCCAGCACTAGTCGTATTACCACCCCAGTAAGACACCCAGTGTGGATACCGCCCGTCAACTTTCGCCAATCGGTTTTTCGTTGGCACTATGTGAACCGTACAACAATCTTCGCTCTCAACACAGAGAGCACCACGCAGGATGCTGCCACCACTTTTTTTTCCTACAACATCAACACCTATTGGTTTGTAACTGCCAATACTGAAGACATACTGGGGTCCGCGATCGTTCTGGTCTATGTGAGGCGAGCCCTTAAAGTTCTTCGTCAAGGCAATGGCAGTGAAAATGAACTCTGCATCGTTCGGTGAAGAAGGGATTACACTTGAAGGTGTGCTGAGAGCAAGAGCGCGGCTGGAGGAAGAAGATGACATCCCTTCAGCTTCACATCCGTCCTCTGCGTCGACTTCTACCACCGGACTGCAGCTACTTGATCTTGATATGTCTGGTGTATCCTTCAAAGAAACTGGTGTTCCACTGCCAGGACTACTGCCGGGACTGGTAGATCTTCGACTTTCGGAATCTCCTAGAATCCGCTCATCTCCTTCTACCTTCTCTCCCTTCTTCCCAGCCAGAGCCAACGCTTTTCTCAATATCTTCTCGCACAGCAGAAACACGCGCCCTCGAAGCCTTTGCTCTGCTCCCAAACAATGAGGCAGTTTGAGAACCGCATAACCGTTTGAGTCGACTCCTTGGCGTACATTTTCTTTCCAGATCTGCTTCTCTGCCTCTTCGGATCTCAGCATATGGAGAAGGTCGTTGGTCAGAGATTCGTCGAGTGGGATAGTGTACTCTGATGATGTTGCTGTGGGGCTTGTGGTCGGGTTTGGGTTGGGCTCATCGATGACCTGCTCATATCGTCGTCTGCAAAAGTCATTTACATTGTCCTTTCTGCCAGCGCTCTCCCCAGGACGACAGTAAACTTTAGAGATCAATTGCTCTGCCATCTGCAAGCTGCGTCTTTGCTTGAAACCCGTCACAAAATCCGCTTCCACCGGCTCAGGTAGAAGAATAGAGTCATCCTCTAGTTTTTTCGCAAAGTCTAGAAGTCTCCCTTCTAGTCGTGGCAACGGCAAGGCTAGTAATTGGTCTAAAAGGGGAGGTTGGCCACGTTCTTGAACAGTTGTGACACGTTCATCTTGGCAGGCTTTTTCTTCTTCCGATACCGCAAGAAGACCTCTCAGTTGTTTTCTTGGAGGTGCAGCTTCCGAGAGCATCTCAACAACAGTGTTGAATTCAGGTCTCTCTCTTCCTCTCACCTGAGGAGCTCGATCCCAGAAATACTGCGCTATCGGCAACGCGACCAACGCAATCACTGGCGGACTCACCGCATTGCCTATTTGAGAGTAAAATCGGTCTGCATCACCCACATAGCAACAGGGGATTCCAAATGTTTCTGGAAATCCTTGGATGCGGCAACATTCACGAGGCGTGAAAAAACGGATACCCGATGATGAGGATGAACTGTCTTGTTCAGGCTGTATCTCCAGCTTGTCTTTCCGAAAAGCTTCTGCTTCTTCAGATCGAGGATCTAACCAAAGCTTATCGTGTCCTTCGCTTGAGGTAGATGCCTCACAACCAACGTCCTTTCTTGAGATTATGTCTTCCCTTGTCTTACGGAAGTATCTTCCATTCTCCACTACAAATTGAGAATGCATTCGCCAACTCCGTTTGTAGCTGCTGGTCAAGGTCTGCGCATGCGACACAAAACCAGAATAGTCGACCAGCTGCCCACTGCCATCAGCATGTTGTTGCATGTAATTCTGCCTACGACAAATGCTCCATTGGCTTTGCCGTAGCTGGACGCTTTTAGGGACTTCTTGCCCTTGTTGTAGAATGTCGCTCAAGGGAATTGGAAACTCGAACTTCGCTGTCGGAGGAGTACTGGTGCTGATGGTCATGGATGAAGATGCCGACACTATTCTGTCTTTCACAGTCGGATAAAACGGAAAATTTGTTGTCGAAACTCCCGAAGACGAAGTTAAAGTTCCTCTTGTTTCTGCATCGGTCCTCGTAGAGCTATCATTTTGACGATTCACTCCGACAATATAGACCCTTTCTCGTCGCTGCGGCAATAACATCGCTGCATCTACCACTTCATAGGAGACCTCATAGTCCAGTGCTTCCAACAACCGCTTGATATCTTGTATCAGGGATCCCTCATCGATGCTCAGCAGCCCCTTGACATTTTCCAAAATGAAAAACCTCGGTCGACATTCCGAAATGACGCGTTTCAAGTGAAAAAACAGGTGTCCTGTCCGTTCGTCGTCGACGCCTTGTCGACTCCCGAGAGTGGAGAAACTCTGACACGGGAAGCCACCGGTCAGAACGTCTACGTGGCCACGATATTCTCGGAGTTGGAGTCGAGTCACGTCTCTGTGGAAAAATTCACCAGTTTTTTCGTCGAAAGACATGAATCCACGGTCGGACCAACGATAGGTAGACTTCTTCTTCCTGTTTGCTTTGGAGGAGCTGGCACTGGAAGAGCTGGAGCTGGAAGAGCTGGCACTGGAAGAGCTGGAGCTGGAAGAGCTACTGGTGGAAGTGCTACTGGTGGTTGAGGGACTCTTGCTACTACCTTGCGCTGCAGATGCTGAAAAGTTCTTCTCGTACGTCTCCCTCGCCATACGGTCTAATTCACACGAACCCAGACAGACGCCGCCAAGTCGCTCTAGTGCTACTCGAAATCCACCTATGCCGGCAAAGAGATCGACAAAAGTGAATGTAGCTTTACTTGCAGGACTTTGTTCTTGGAGACAGCTCTCTACTGAGTCTGGGGAACCTACTAGTTCCAAGGCTCTCCTAGCACAGGGTGGAAGCTGATCACTATCCTCCTCCCCTTCGTTCGGATCTATCAACCAAACGCACTTTTTCCTTTGCAACTCCTGTAGGAAAGACAGCAATTCTTGCGCACATCCATCGTCATCATCGAGAGCTGCTAAATCGGATAAGCTACGGCCTCTCGAGTTCTGTTGTCCACGCAAGACTGAAGTGCCATGAGCAGTGAGGGGTATGCACATGAAGTCTTTTTCTTGATCATGATCAGAAGCTCCTACCTCAGCATCAAGATTCTCGCCCGTAGTTTGCTCGTCCAGGCATCTACTAGTGGCATCCTGCAGTTCAGCGTTTTGGTCGTTGGCCTTCTTCGCTTCTCCCAGCTCCAACGGTCTTTCCACACCTGGAGGGTCTATCCTTTTTTCCGAGCAAGATCTTGTTTCCCACGCTATAGTTGGACACGAGGTCGAAAGCCAGCCCAAAGCACGAAGCAAATCCTGTGCGTTCCGCGTGCTGCTACGTGGCACAACGAGCGTGCCAGCGACACACACATCAGCGTCTAAATCGAAGGCGTGAGACATATTCGCGTGAGCCATGAAGTTGATTCAGAAATGTCAAAAAGCTACTTAATGCATTGAAAACACTGAAGCCCAATTGTAATGTATCATTGAAAAAAACCTCCTCCTTCCTGAAGCAATGATGATTGCATTTTACTTTTTATTGCCAGTTTTGTGTCAACTATTTAGCAGAAATTGAAGTCATTTGATCGTCTTTCTTGTTTTGATCCTATCTTTTCTTGTCAGAGATCTGCTAAGGAGGGAAGGAAATCGATCGATCTTGATCTGACGGGTGTAAGATAAAGAACTTCAGAACTGGTTGATGTTGGAGCTTTTCTGTCTTCATGATGAAGGAAGACCCGACATCCAGTCGAATGCATGCATTGCCACGCTGGGTGCTTGCATCCAGGCAGGCCTCAATTATACACAGGTGGAATCGAGACAACGCTAACATAGCCTCAAAAGGCACACGACATCATCGTTGTGGAGTCTCATCCATGACAACGACATCTTCTCATGAGATACCTATGTTGTCTTTGTTACATTGCCATGCATACTGATGTTATGTGGTACCACTCAAGCGTAGCATTTAAATCAATGATTCCTTGACCGGGATGAACTCCTAGGACGTAGATCTCATAAAAAAATGGAGAACGATTCATCATACACTAGCACTAGATTTGAAAACCGGAAGAGAAAGCGATAAGACGATGGCATCTTCTACTTGATATCATTAGATTATTCACGAAAAAAAAAATGAAACGGCCCAAGCAAAAAGTCAAAAAAACTGAAAAAACGTTTTGCTCGGTGACGCTGCGTAAGTACCTACAGTAGCATTATCGGATGAGAGATTAACCTTAATAGCTGGCTCAGTGTCCCCAGTCTTCTGATTGATTGAAGACAGACGGAACATTAAGTTGTACACATCATGTTAATGACCAGTTATACACATGCTTCAGATACTATGACGTTGATGCTCTTGTCATCGTTCTCAGCATCTATGTTCAACTAAGATTGACATGCGGTCGGCTATGTCGCGACAACATTACATCTATCTAGCAGAACATTCCTCTACCTATCGTTCATTGATTCAATCTAGGGATTATTAACCAATTATCAATCCTTTGCGAAATTGCGTTTTTGATGCGTAAACATAGATAGTAGTTTCGGATATCCATGAACATGATGAACATGAGTCACATGACATGTAGTTTCAATGTAAAAAACCTGTATCTACTTATGAGAACCTAAGTCGATCTTCAAGAGAACTATTTAAATATAAAGTCGTATGCTCTTTCTGTGATAACAAAAAATCTTCCAAAAAAATGATCCTGCTTCATTCTCACCGTCAGCCTTTTTGACCTACTCTGTTTACTCACCCAGGCGCCTTATATTTCCTTTCCAGCTCTTCCCGTCTATCGTGGTCCATGCTGTTCCTGACGCCTCGCAGAGTCGTCGCTGCCAATCCGCTTACGCCGATAGCCGGCTTCAAGATGCATATAGGCACGCCCCTCGCCAACTGCTTCACTCGATCTTCAGCGGATTCAGCTCCTCTCGAGGCGAATGTTAGATAAGGCTTTTACACAAAGTACTTGTGTATCGATTACATTCCTCATAAAAGGAAAAGCTGTCCCGATTTCCTGTCTACTGAAAAAACAGTCCCTGCCCCGGACTCTTTGCTACAACTAGAAAAAGAGCCAGGCACGATTACGTTCACGATATTAGTGCAGGATGTAATTGGTTGCCAACCCTTAGCCTTAACAGAGGATCACTCAGGACGCGGCCAGCGTCAACCATATTCCTCTTTAGGGACTCGAGACCCATCTGTAACCCCTCGATCCCATCGGCAGGTTGCATGCCTTCACGCGCACCCTTGTCTACAGAAAGCCACTCCTCATCCTCCATCAAGGGAGCATAGGGATCATCTAGTTGGTTATTTGAAATCGTTTTTAAGTACCTAGGGATCATCTGGGGTGTAGAATGTTATTTGAAAACGTTTTTAAGTACGTAGTAGCTATATCGGGGGGGCACCGCGCGGCCCCGGGCCCCTTTTCAAGGCGTCTGCCAGGGGTGGAAAGCCTCAAAAGGGGGGCCGAGTGGCCTCCTCCGCTCCCTTCCAGCTGCCTGCCTGTGCCCTAAGTGCCTCCGATATGCTTCGCCGCCCCAGCAGTGCGCCGGTAGTGGAAGGCCTCCGAAGGCGGCAAAAGGCGAGGGGCTGGACCCCCCGAGCCGTGCGGCCTGTAACCCTCCGGGCCCTTGGTCATCGACTTGCTTGCTCTTGAGACCGTGGCCGCCTTCGGCGGCCTTTCACCCCGGAGGCCTCCCGCCTGCGAGGGTCAGCAGAGGCCGGGAGGTCCCTGAGGAACACGCAGAGAGGCGCAAGGGGAGGCCCGCGCCAAGTTTTGACGCCTTTCACCACTAGAATCCGCGAAAATCAGCGGGAAAAAGCGCGCGCGCGCCACCTCAGACCATACCACAGGGTGGGTACCGTGCAGCCCTAAAACATGTCTAAATGTTGACGCAAAGTTGGAGCTAGCGCATGGAAATCTCGATTGAACGTGCCAGGGAGTCAGATTGATAAATTACTTGTTATCCAACAAAGTCGCAAATTTACCACTATTCTCCATCATCCCATCGTCATCCTCTCTCGCATAGCGCGCGCCGCGCACTGGTGCTCGAGCCCGCAGAGCTGCAGCGCGTTGTTGCCTTGCACGCTGAGCTGCGGTGCGACGACTTGCCGCATCAGAACCTCTCGAATTCGACGAATCTCCAATGCTCTTCTCCGCGAATTCTAACACTGATTGCGTAGCAAAGAACGCCTTTTCAGTGAGTTCCAAGGACTCAATCGTCAAATTTCGCAAAAACCCTGTGGCACCACGCACCAGAAGTCTAGATAGATGGTGTTGCTGCTCAAACCGACTCAAAGTGTTATTCCGATTCGCGCGCCCACGTGGAACCAAGCCACCAAATTGTTCGGCCAAAGCGAGTTGAAGGGGTTCACGGACGTTTCTTAGAAGACTCTGTTTCTGACTCGTCCGAGAAAGCAATTCATTGAACTTGTTGAATTTCTTCATCTGCGATAGTACAATAGCAAACATCAATCTTCAATGCGTCCTTGGATATATTCTTGTATGAAGTGAACGTGATTTTTTTAGAAAAAGCCGTCCCTCATGATCTTCGTTCTTATGACCGTGTACTACGTGGTCTAGAAACAAATAACATTCAGATTCACGCCTGATCATCATAAGAACTCCGTCAAAGCGCTTCCGATGTTGGCGAAGCTCCGAATCGGTGTAATGCCGGACAAGGATCTCAAAATTTGAGACCTGTTCAAGTCTCGCGACCACTTCTCCGCTAACAACAGACCCAAACGCGATGCCGGAACGTTGCTGAGTCTCACGCTACGGAATGCGATTTCTAAACCCTCTAGCAGAGGTAAGAGATTGATCAACTCCGACAAATCGCCACGCTGCAGAGCCTGCACATCTAAGCGTTTCGCACGGTAGTCCATGACTGCAAGCAGCGCTGAAACTCTGACATGCTGAAAACGCGTCGCTCCGGGAGTTGATGATGCAGAGGAGGTGGAAGAAGAAGAATGGCGTGTTCGATCTCGATCTCCTCCTATTGTTCCTGCTACATGCGATTGTGACGATGTTGCTGCAGCTGTGGCACTGGCGCCAAACAAAGGATCTGACTTTTCTTTAGCGCTCACGATAATTCATCTTCACTTGCTAAGGTCATAGCGAAACGAGCTGAGAAAAAAACGAAGACTGACATTGTGCAGATGCATTACCATCATCATGAGCCTTAACTTCTCGAATGTTGACCAAGTCGCCTTCCTCTTCCTCGGACATTTCGATGTACCTGGGCAACGTCGTCAACCGCACGAATCTAAAGGCGAAGTCCACTACATCTTGATCTATCGTGAACCGCAGAGGCAAAAGCTTCACGTCTAGACTCAATTCTCTACTCTGTTGACTAGAAGTGAGCGGACTGGCAGCAGAAGCGTACTCATCTGGAGATTAGAAGAGGCTTTAGATGGTGGTCTACAATTCCTAAACGTATAATGATTCTTGCCTTAAAAGAGGCAAACCCAATTGTGATCAATCTGTAACAATATGCAATAGCATACCGAATACAATCAGAACAACTGTCTTAAAATCGCACGACTAGCATGTCCAGGTCGCTGCCTCGCGGACGGTTTTTCTCGTCGTGGTAGTAAGACAAGACGTGTTGAAAAGCAGACGTTTGAACCTCATCACGCAGAAGCAGATCATGCACAGATACCACCAGCCTCCGTTGCAGCACATCACAAGGCAGCGAGTCTCCGACCACGCCCGAGCTCCGATAAGTGTTTCTGGCATTTTTAGAGAGTGAAGCCACGAAGAAGGCTCGCCACCTTATTTGGGAATCATCGGAGGACACAGACCAGAGGGAAGCAATTCCGATTGGGGGCCGCCGCCCCCGAGTCACACACCACGCACCCGCCCAAGGCTCTCGACCACGTTGGTCGCAAGTGGGCGTAACCATTGGTTACGCCCACTTGTCACCAGATCACTAGCACAATACCGGAGAGCCCCCGAACTACAACGAGGGGGGAGACAATAGTTGCACAAGTCGGCGGCGCCCTACTACTACTCTATGCTATACAAAGCCATAACGTGAGCATCTCCCTCACCGCCAGTCGACTTCTGCGAACCAACGGGCACCATCATGCGCGCTAGGGCCTTTTTTAGTTGCAACACCAGGGAAAGGTCTTTCCGTCGTCTATTAAGTCTGTTGGCTGCGGCAGGCTGTGTTAGGGTCTGGAGCTTCGCACGACTGTCCATAGCGAAATCCGTGCCACCATATATCGCTAAACTCAAGTCATCGCATCGAAACGTGAGATCGGTCGTCAACTTCGTCCCTTTGATTTCATGGATGAATTAGACGCCCAAACGCACGAAGGAAAACAATGGATTTGTCACCATCTTCTAGCATCTCCTACTAATTTGGTCCATCTCTCAGTGTATTTTGTTGAAGACCAGACTCTAGTAATAGCCGATTCGTAAAGCGCGGCAGCGCTCCGAGGATCTGCAGCACCAAAAGCCGACGACGACGTCGACGATGCGCCCGAGTCTTCTGCCAAGTCGGGAAAAAGAAACTGGTCATGCTGAATACTCCGTTTTAGACAAACTCTACGTTGTGCTAGCTCCTTGAAGTTCATTGAGAAGACAAAAAAGACTCTATGGAGCTATCATCCTCAGCTTGCTTCCTTTTTGGGTACAAACACAAGATGGGCTCGGCGAAAATCACTCCCTCGTAATGCAAAGTACAATACGCAAAAGCGAATTTGAATTCCAATATTCAAGACGTTCAAGTTTCATCTATAAACAGACATCAATTCCCGTTCCTGAAGTCAGCAATGAATTGTTTGGCCTTAACACCTGTTGCGGGGGAACAAACCAGGTTGCCGCACTACCACGCTGGTGTTTCGTCTCCCCCTGATAATCACGAAAGCCCCCAGAGGAGGATGACCCCCCAATCTGTTCTCGAGGACCAGTCTGTCGTACTTGAGGACCAGATGTTGAATATTGACCAGCACTACTGCCACCACCAAAGTGTGAATTATCTCTACTTGGTATTGGTATAGCACCAGCCGAAGGCAGCGAAGTAGAAGTGCTTGAAGATGCAGCCGCGTACATTTGTTGTACTTCGCGTCGTGCCGCAGCTTCTTCAGCCCTGAAATCACGCAGCTCTGACGTTGAGTAAGCATCCTTGTCGAAATAACAGACTGTCACCTGTTCACTGTCGCTTGCTGTACTAGGAGCTCCACCACGTGGTCCTTCTGGAGACCTAGAAGTTCCTTGATAAGGAGGCTGCATGCCTCCTCGACGCCCTGAGGACGAACCAAACTCACTATCATCTTCACTCGCGAGCTCAGCCGGAGATAAAAAGCCTCCGTCATCGCTGCCAGATCGGCTGCCTCCATACCCAAAGGATGGACGTCTTTGCTCGTTCTGCAGACAGACGACACTAGAACTGCTAGCACGAGCTAAGTAGTCATCGATCACTGGAGATTCGTCATCAGGCCCAAAAGGCAGAGGAATCGGCTCGCCATATCGCTCGTCGTACTGGGAAAAAGAAGATCTGGCATCTCGATTCCCAAACAACAGTGTTGGACTAGGATCAAACTGAGAGGACGAAGGCAAAGCAGAACCAGAAGCAGAGCCTCCTCCTGCTCCTGTGGTACTAATATTCGAATTATGATGCGAAGATAACACTGGAGTTCTTGTGCTGGCCTCTGGAGGCTGGTCTGTAGGGACGGCAGGCGAAGTTGCAGATGAGGATGAAGATCCTAGCATAGGTCCTGGTCCCGGTGGTCCCTGTTCATCATAGGACATTTCGAATGTGATATCGTCAGTAGGCGTGCTTCCCCCATTGCCTCCTGGAGTACCAGACCCGGTTGAGCCTCCAGTAACAAGATCTCTAGTGCTAAAATCTTCTTCAAATGGCGATGGTATTAAACCTCCTGAAGCAGGTGGCTTTACGAGATTTCCATTTATTTGTTCTAGACGAGTATGTATTGGAGGCAAACCAAGTGCGGAAAGTGTAGCAGGCTCTGCTGTAGCGAGCTCCCCTGCGCCATTATCACCACGCGGTGGGCTTATATTGCTATCCGGTCTTGACCGATCTCCAACTGAAAAGCCGCCGACCCCCTGCATTGCGGTGGCTGGATAAACCGTATTCACTGGTAAGAGATTCATGCTGCTTGCTGCTGCTTCGGCTCCTCTCGAAGAAGTACTCTGCTGTAAAGGATCAGCAACATCTCCAGGTGAACGTGAATACGCACGGTGATTAGTGATCTCAGTAGTATTCTCAACAAGATCAACATAAGTAATTAGTCGACACTAACACCGATCGCAATGCGACAAAAATAAAGCATTCCTGTTCACTCGCTAGCAAACTGATCAACGAATAAGCACGACGCTATAAAAACTAAGAGAATAGAATCTAAATCCACAACTCAAACTAGAAGTACAACATCGACTCCCAACCTGTCCATAATATTCACACTGTTCACGCTACTTCGCGGCGACGCTCGTTCTTTCCTCGACAACACGATATCTTCAGCTACTGGCACTGCTTGCGCATTCGCTTCCGATATCACTTGGAGCAGGCAATGAATCGTATCCGCACAAGCGTGTAACGCCACTTTGCCACTGCGAATGTCGATTGACATCTCCTCCTCGTCTTGTTCCGGTATGAGGGCTTTCTTCTTCCGAAACAGCACTGTGGCGTCTTTCGCCTCTAAGACGTGCGCAAAACCCAGCGAGGACAAAATACTGGTCAGTGAAGCCTTGGAAGGTGGAATCCTAAGGTTTGTCTGCAACAAGTGTTCTGGGCGATCGATTACGTAAGCTCGAAACTCCCCCAACTCCATTCGGAACCCGACATGCTGCCCCGTGGCTACACCAGTTGCCAGCTCGAATTGGGTAAGAGTGACTACAGTGCTACACTGCACCTTGTCGCTTGATGCTGCGTCTTCGATACCTCTTGTTGCAGCACCAAATGGTTGCTGCGGTGAATTCCGCTCATCCGGACTCCGACTCAGTGGAGGCGATTGCAAGTGGAGTTCATCCCTTGAAGCCATTCCAGGTTCGCCGTAGTTACGCGGAGAACTAAAACGGTCCTGGTTCAGAGGATTCCGATTGTAATGCGCTCCACTGCCAGAAGAAGCACCGGGAAAAGTTCCCCTAGTCGAGCTCCCCAATAAAGAAGACGGAGATGCAGGCATGAAGATTCCTCCCCCACCACCCACCATCGTTCCAGCTAGCGTCGCTGGTCCCCGACGACACAAGGTCACATCCCCACTGCATTTCTCGCTGTATCCCGCTGAAGGGATTTGGATCAGGCAATCCTTTAAGTTGATGAAGTACTTCGTGAAGGACTTCCTGTCGCGATCCAGGCATTCCTCTGTCATTGGTGGTGGGGTGTACCCAGCAGGCGCAAAATACTCCAAAATATCACTATAAGTCCATAACATGTGCGGATGCAAGTGAAACGAAAGCCGATTCAGCACTAAAGTCAATTCGAACAAGAACAACGTCGATATTGAGGAATGCAGGGAAGATTGTTGTTGCCGGTGTTCTGCTGGGGCGGAAGGTTGCTCTGCAGAAGATGTTGGAGAAGAAGCTGATGGTGTACCAGGCGGTGAAGAAAAAGTGCTGTTGACGCCAGTGTTAGTTGTAGAGGGAGGAGGAGCATTGTGTCCAATTTTCTTTTGGTCCAGGACTAGTAAAAACGACCCCGTATCAGCCCAAGCGTTGCGTGCTACGAGGTCGAAGACAGCATTCTTTCGCCGAAAGAAGGACACTGGGAGACGGTGCTTCTGCTTTCCGAGTGCCGCTTCATCACGTTGCTTTTGTTGTAGCAGCTCAGCAGGGTCCGCGACACGACGGTCGAGACTGAGAATGGAGGCCCTAAGCTTTTCTCTCCTGTATTCTTGCACACTGTAGATCGCAGCTGACGCTGAGGCAGAGAAAAGATTGCGCTGGTTTTCTACTGCTGCAGCACAGTACCCTGAGGGCGCAGATGGTCGTCCTTCCGGCGTGGTATCTTTCGCAGAGGAGGAACTACCACCAAACTGCTCATTTGGAAAAATGGATCCCTCACTAAAAGTCGCAGATGCCGACCCTCTGCTCTCAAATATAGGCTCGACATAACCGCCAGAAGATCTACTGCCAAAACGCGGATCGCCTGTACCAGAAGTTGCAGTTGTGTGATAGTGGTTGAAGGCATCGTCCTCATTCTCAAACAATGATCCTGGTTTGTTGCTCGGTCCTCCTGACGGGGAAGAAGAAGCACTCTGGTGATGTTTTCCTAGGAGGTGTACTTTTGGGTCTCGGAATTCAAAGGGTGTAGCCGCGTTGCTGAATGCAGTCGGCAGTTGCACTTCTCTAGCAACCTGTTCGAAGTCGACGCACTGTGGATACAGTGGGTATCCGTCTTGAGTACTGCCACCCACCGGTGCGAAGACATCTTGATCTTTCGATTTGCGTCTATTAGACAGCTCCTGCTAGGCCTTTTTCAACATCCTGTTGCACGTTACAACTGACCTGCATGATTCCACCGTGAGCTAACTAAGCCCCCTTATTTGCTCCAGACTGGTTAAGCTTCTAGTCCACTCGATGATGAAAAACTAAGCCTTAAGTCTAGGTAGGAGCTCCCCTCGCAACGGAATCCACCAGGGCTCTACTAGGTGCTCTACTGATTGGACCCTCTTATCCTTCATCCCTGCACGTTCACCAAACGCTCGAAAGTCTCTGCCAATGCACCCTATTCGAAAGGCGCCTGTCCCAATCGCTACATAGCGAGCCTCAAAAGCACCTACACACAACCAGACTCCCCGTAAATGCTCTTGATCTTTTGAGTCGGAAGGGGCTGTGGTAGTGGCTCTTGTCGTTGGTCCTAGATGCAATGGTGGCAGCGATGAATTTGATCCTGCAGCTGTTTTTGAGCCCTGTTGTTGTGTTCCAGCGGTCTCGGACCTCTCGCAGCCTGGCTCCAGCATTTCTAACCACACGCTCTTTGCATATACGGAGACGCCCAACGTCGAAAATTTGGCGTCTTGGAGGGCACTTGTGTTAGAAGCATCCATCTACTTCCGAATGGCAGGGGTGGTAACAGAGTGACAATTCATACGATGTCACTCCCAACCAAAATGTTGGTTCTTGCGAGTAACTAATCATTGTACTTCAAAACGCCATAATGCTGATCGTCTTCTGCGACACGGGATCGAACCTCTGCCTTGTAAGCCGGTTCAAGTAGGAGCTGTTGCCAAAACTCGTAGCAAAGTGATCCACAGACTCGATCAGCGCCAACAGCGTGTTCGAAGTGAAATGCAGAGACGGAAGATGAAAAGGGAAACAAGAGAATGAGGTACAACGTGGTGTGAATGAAATAGAAATTCTTCTTGAAGCTAATAAATTGGCTTCTTCTGATGTAGTACTCAGCTCCGATGCACAGGGGTTAGGCTGATGCTCAGAAAATACCAAGGCGGGAGGATCATTCACAAAGTTATCACATCTAAGTTCTGAACTCATAGAATGCATTTGCGGCAATATCGATCTCTGTACCGGAAGGCTCCAACAAGGGATTGATCTTGCGTTCCGACTCTTGCTCCTCCGCCTTCCTCTGTGCTGCCGCCTTAGCCTGCAAGCGTGCGCGCTGCTGCTCTGATGCGAAACGAACCTGGACGAGGGTAGCTAGACTGTTTTAACGGACTTCGCCGATGCACATCAGCTTCACCAAGTCTAACTGTACTTATTAGCTATCATGCACCCAGGCAAGTAGTGACTGAAATCAGATCTAACATCTAATTGAGGTACCTGTCGCTGCCTTTTGGGTGCTGTCCTTGGGAAGAAGAACTTTTGTCCTAGCTCTTGCACTTGTTCTAAGACCGACGTCTGAGCGCCGTGTCGCTGACGGGTAAAGCCACTGGGCAAGGATATCTTGGTCCAGCCTGTATCACGATCAATACTAGGATCTGGCTCCGATGGGGGCTTTGCTGGTTCTTGTTGAATCTCACTGGGATCCGGTACGTCGCTTGGTAGATTTTAGAGGTGAATGAGCCTACAGGATGGAATATGGCGACTGGGTTTACCCTTTGGTTAAAGAAATGTTATTCTCGATTTCTTCTACCTACTACTTAGGCTTCTAGCTATTTCTGCACCCTGGTGAGCACGACAGTGAGTGAAAGATAGATGATTTCCATTCCTACCCATAACTTCTAATTCTAAGGTCCCTCGTGAGTCCACGCACAACTAGTGCATCTTCCCTTCCCTCCTGAGACAGGACTAAAATACCACGCTCAGCAATCGGTTTTCCAAAGTCGTCGATGCTACTGGCACTCGAAGGCGACTGCTGCTGTTGGTCTGGCTTACCTCCTTCTTCGTTTGTCGCTGCTCCTTGTGCTTGTCCCTCAGGCTTTTCGACTCCAGATTCAGAACCAGTATCAGGATCCTGCAAGAAGTAGCAAGACAAGCGTCCCGACGTCAGTTTCCATTTTTCGTAGAAGAACTCTGCTGAGCCTGGCTCACTCGAAGTCGAGCGACGTGGAAAACCGCCAGGTCCTACCCGACCACTGCTCATTGAACTAGAAGCTGTTGGACTAGTCGTTGGTGGCGGCAATATGCTACCGGCTGCGAGCTGGATATTGGGCAAGTTTACGCCAAACGTGCAGAGGCGTCCGCGTGGCTTGCCCAGTCGTAACCTCAATTCAAAAAGACTCAAATCCAGGAAGAGGCCGTAGACTGAGTTTGGATCCGCTTCGATGCCTTGGTGGGTTAAACGTTGGGATTAGAGTCGTCTACAATCTATTGCGACTGCCTCTAAAATTATAGTCAGATAGCACCTATCTTTCATTTGTACGACTGTACACGAGAAGAAGATCGTCCAGAGGTGTGCATGTTGTAACGACAAAATATAAGTAGCAGAATTCTGTGGAGCGAAAAACACAGCCATAATTGCTATATGACGTTTCAGGTAAAAAGTTCGGACGCGGCACCCGACCTCCACTCGAGCCTCGGCCGCCCGTGGGAGAGGATGCTGATGAGGGGTGATATCCAGCACCGTGAGGACTCATGTGTCCGAGAATACCACGGGACGCTTCTGGGTTGGAAGGCTTAGAGGAAGAATAACGACCCACAACATGTGTTCTATTGCAATTACCCCATGAAAAATCCTATGAAAGACTAAAAAGTAGCCAACGCTAAGCTCGACCCAACAACACCAGAATTCCTTAAAAGCCGCATCGCCACAGCTTTCCTGGTCATGGCTAGCAGATGTCTGCCTACCACACCTGCTCAGAACCACCGAAAGCGACTCTATGCTCCGAGGACACAAGTCCACGACTACGGGGTAAGGTGTAAGCGAAATCTGCGTACTCACATCGGCTTCAAACACGATAGAAAGTGCGGGAGGGCCAGCGGGTCCAGAGATTAGAGGAATGATTGTTGGTGTTGATCAAGAAGAGCATACAGCGGAACAACCGTTGTAGGTGCTGAGTATGCGAATAGCAAAGCTCTATAGTGCTCCTGCACTAGCGCGCAACGATTCTAATCTAGTCATTCTCATTCGCTATCAAACACAACAACAGCAGCACCATAAAGATGTCAAGATTGATTTTTTGCTACTCTACTATCCCAATGACTGTCATAAAGAAAAAAATGACTCCAAAAGGGATGACGCAGAAGACGTGGTGCTTCCAGAAGAGACGCCGCTCATTGTTTTCTTCAAAGGGCCACCTGGGTCTTCCATTTCCTCATCTTCCTCACTGCTACGACCCGAATCAGAGCAACTGGGACTTAGAAACTTTACAAAGAAACGACAGTAAAAACTAAAATAAACTGTAATCAATGAAAGATCACAGTTAGTGTAGGTAAGTAAGGCTGAAGAAGATAGATACGAAAAGTAGAACCCCACTGAAAGACTGACACACAAAATGAGATATTGAAGCGATGCAAATCGCAATTCTCAAAATGAAAAGCATAAGAAGGATTGCGGAAAACTGTCGAAGTCAAAGTCGCCATTGCTGGCCGACAGGTGACCACCACCGCCATCGCGGACAGGGTCTCTACCGCACTCAAAAATTCGTTTCCGACCATCCACAGTTCCATCTACATACACTAGTCTCGGTAAGTTCCCACGATGCTCGCCCCGCCGAGGCTTCTGGCACTCTGGCAATAAGATGCGCGTTTTAGAGCTATGATCCTTGGGGCTAGGGTCCTTGCACACTTGCTTTGTAGCCTGTAATCTTATCTTATCACATGCTACAGCTACTTCATGACGTGGACCAATCAAAGTGCTCTGTAGCCTTAAGCGTAGTCGTGTCCTGCACAGGAGTCTCTGGCACTTTGCTTACTCCTGCCAGCATATCGTACAGAGCACTTCCGAATGTAGCTTTTTGAACCTCAGCACCCTTGATATCTTCTGTTACACTTCCGCTTACTCCGGTAGTTGCTCCTGTCGGAAGCTCTGTCGTATGATCTCCATCTAAGTCTACTAGGTCTCCGTCCGTTGTGACTGCTTCTCTTACTAGTGCTCGCATGCGCTCAGCAAGTACTTCCACTGACTGCTCAGCAAAAAACTCACTTTCCACGTTCAGTAATTCCTCCTCGTCTTCCGAGCTGTCCTCCAATATGGATTCCGCTGGTGACCCACCCTCCAGAGACTCCGACTCTACGGTTTCTGTACTTACGGACACCGCGTCAGGACTGCGAGAACCGGGAAGGCTATCGTCATCTTGGTCTTCCTGATTAACGTGGTCAGTCTGAAGGTTAGAGCTAGAAGAAGTCCATCTTGTAAAGCATCTTGGTGCCCCTTGTCCCTTCAGAAACGGGCCCGAGATGCTGGCTAAAATGGATTTCTTGAAGCCTTAAGAATGACATTTCTTGTTGATGTGGTCGTATAATCTTTACTGGTGCTCTCGTCTAGGCCTCCACCTTGCTCTCCACTTATGCTACCACTTGTAGTTACGAAGCTGTTACCACTTGCAAGTTGTACTTCGCCTTCCATTTTCTCACTAGCATTGCCATCATGGTCGCCATCTGAGTTTGGCGTCGTGGTCATGGGCGTCGAAAAGTCATTATCAACGCCTGACAACGGTGGCGTTGCAAAAAGGATTAGAGCTAGCGCTTTGTCTTCAGCACAACGTATGCCATGAGGCTAGAAGGCGCCTGGCATATTCCCATGTCACAGATTCCCTAATTAACCTGTTCATCTACTGCACAGACAACAACAACAAACAACCTTTTTCTAGCCATAACAAATCAACTGCAGACGTTAACGACTCTGCTTCTCCTGCTCGCGTTGGTGAGTGTGTTCCTCCTACACCGTTCCCAGTCAGCTGATCTAGCGATGTCATACCTGTCAACGAAGATTCAAACTTCCCTGCAATAGGCTTTTCTCGAAGTGGCATTGCCTCCACTAGGATTTCTTCGGATGAGGATTCTTTCAAGTCGCTTTTGATGTTAGAGGTAGATGATTCACCGGTGCCTCTGCGTCTACTCATTTTCATCAAGTGAACAATTGCAGTCACCATTATGGATAGTACGAAACTACCGAGACACTTTGAACTACTTATAACTAACTTAGCCTCGACCTCAGCCTTATTATGATTTCCTTCCTCCCCCTTATCCGTGTCTCCAAAGTTCTCGCCCTTCTCGTCTTGTACCCGCTTTGTTTCGTCGACAATACTTCGGAACATTGGAAATTCATCCGCATCCTGAGCATTTCCGATCGACCCCACACTCTGCACTGACTGAAACATAGCCATATTGCTTGATGTAGATGTACCCATGGGGTCTTGTCTAACGGATTGGAAATTAGACGATTAATTAGGTAGAAGATGCTTGGTCGCTCGTCACATAAGAGAGATAATGCTTTCTCATGTTCAAGACTACTTCCTTGATTATCGTTGAAAAAAAAAACAACAGTAGTTCTCGCTTCTAACATGATTAATTCATTCATTCATTTGCGAACCACGTGACAACTTACGCTGCCTGATTCCGTTGCGACCCGAGTCCATAAGAAACATGGCTTGTTCTGCATCTTCTCGTTCTTTTCGTAAGTCTGCTTGGATCGTGGCTGACAATTTCTCCGCTATCACCGTCACCTCAGCCTCTTTGTTGGTACGACCAGTCGATCCAGCTTGTCGTGGATTAGCAGGACGCTTCATGTTCATATCTTACGAAGGAACAAATGTTGATACTAGCATATTCTCTGACGGGTGTGAGGAATGTGAATCTGAAATCACCTCAGTTCCATAATATGTCCGACAACCGTGTGACCAACTGAGTATCCAGCCTCTTCCGGCTCCCTTGCAACGCGAAAGTTGAAAAAGCCGTCCGCAGAGGTTAAATCTCCCTCTACACGCCATCCGTGTGTACCAGGCGTCGGCGTGTCCGTCGCACCCACACAGAGTTTACCAAGGCTAAGCTCGTAGTTCGTGTACGGAAGAATGGAAGGATTAGACATGTGAGAGAAGGGAAGGATTAGACACAATCTCACAAACACCATGAGAAATCTCCCTGTTCTCTCCCCCGCTATATCTTCTCTACTTTTCTTTAAATGGGACTTGTTGCGCAAAAACAGATTGACATAATCCCTAACATTAGGGGGCGGCCCAGGCAAGCCTTCGCGCCATGGCGTTACAAAATCCACCCGCTCCGCCAGGACGAAGAAGTAGTTCTGCCTTGTAATCTCCACACCCACTCGGAGGGTACGCGTAAACAGAGTACCATCTTGCAATCCTTCGTCTTGGGCGCTTGGTGGATCTCCATTTCTCGAAGCTTTGCTAGCTTCTTGTATGAAAAGAGCGATATTGTGGGCACTTGTCTTGAACCTGGCTGGGCGTGGGAGGAGTAGGAAGCATTTCACCTACAACCTCTCATGACTACTTAATCCAAGACACCCACACACAACCTGGTGACCATATCTTCACTCTTCCCCTGTAGTTTTTCTTTGTTTCGCTTTTTGCGCGCCTTGTGCCTTGAGAGGACTCGCGACACCAGTGCGGCGTCTGGCCCGTCCTCAGCCTCGTCAGCAGCACCTTCGTCTTCGCATTCGTCTTCTAGCATAGAGTCGGTCTCAAACAAGGCATACAGCTCGTACCAGAAATTACGGCTCGGTCGCGGCTCCACGAAACTGTGAAAGAGCTCCGCGTCTATTTGTTGTGCGGATGGATGCTTTGATTGTCCTGCTTATTGAACTACGAGACAAAAGATAGAATTGTCAAACCATCACGTTGTTGACAAAGAAACATTCCTTCGACGGATGTGGTTCTAAAAGTAGAATCAATACCTCCACCAGCATGTCCATCACCCATGTCATGACTTGACCCTCGCGTTTGTGCTGGTGCAGAACCATACTCCAGAAATTCAGACCCACGACGAACGTTCATCAAGGACAATACCGCTTGAATGCCAGCAATTTTGATATCAACCTGCATTTCGATCTGCAGCGCGTCTGTATCCACTACTTTAGGATTAGAAGAGGAAAAGAATTCATCAAAAAAGATGAATTATTTTGAGCCAAATATTCTTAAACATCCAAGATCTACTGATGTAGAAAATAGATTCTTCAGAAAGAAACTTGTACTTTGTTGAGACTATCAAAAACCTTCATAACTTAGAACCTACTTGTCACCCTCATAATTCTTACGACCAACAGGATGGGCATCGTGCGGTCGGTTCTCAAAATGAGGTCTTCGCGAACTAGAGGAGCTTTATCCAGGACTAAACTGTCGGATACCACACGCTCAGCAGAGGACCTGAGAATGTCGCTTGGATCTTATCGTAGTTAGGTTGCAGAGTGTCTGTATGATGCATAAAATCAGGTTCTCTGCCTGGCTACAACGCGACAGCCGAGTTGTGCTGCACTCTACAAATCACGCACGGAATCCGACTGAGAGCAATCTGAAACTATCAACATACATAGTATATGTAACACAACATGACTACACTTCTATGTCAGGCGAATCCGAAGTAAAAATACCCTTCCGCTTGAAACACGGAATCCGACAGCAAATCGTGTGAAGTGGGTACGAATTGGATCATGAAGTCGGTGATTTGCAATTTCCTCTCCTCCTCACATCGCCGACCTCGGGACGAGTCCGGGAAAAGAAATGCTGAAGACAAAATCACCTGCAAAGCGTGGCTGGGAATGAACGCAGGATGATGGGAAATTTATGGATTCCATTCCATGAAGTCTATCATTGGCTAGCATACCAACCCCTAGACTATACGATGACACTCTGCAGCTCCATATTAAGGAGTACCCTTTCTTTCAAGAACTATGAGTATTTAAGATTCTGTAATTTTCTACTTCTTCGGCCCTAAACCCTAAGCCTAAGCATCTTCCGCTGAGGGAACCTCATCCCAATCCTCCGATGCACTAAACACTCCTAAATTGATACTTAACTCCAGCGCCATACTGTAGTAGCTTCCATCCTCTGGATCCTCGCTGAAAAGAGTGAGACGCAAGTTCTTCAGACAGACCTCCGTATGTCCCAGGACGTGCTGGACAAGCCGTGACAGCGTCTCGACCCCCTCATCACCGTAGGGATCGTCTCTACGCCGGTTGTAGTCTTCTTAGAAGACCGTCGATAGTAGTACAAATCATTTACCTAGAAATGTATCTGATCAGCATTCGGAATCGGAAACATCACTAGTCTTCTGAGAGGTAAAAAAAAGATTCTTTAAAGAGTGAGTGAACTACAATTACTCAGCCTTACTGTAAGTCTAAGTCTGTAAGAACAGCAACAATCAAAACTCCTGATTTCTTAACGTTCTCTAACACTTTGGCTCATCTTGAACTGCTTTTTGCGGTCCTTGCCTGACGCTTGGTTCTTTCCGCCCTCCCGATTGACAGTACCTCCTTTCTCCCCATTGTCCTCGACTTGCGGTGTTTAGAAATCACAATCTGGATGCACTTACAACTGGTCTGTCGATTTATGAATTGATGCTGAATATTGATTGATTGTCATCCTGAGTGGTACTCCTCGACCACCGGCAGGACGATACAAAATTGAATAATTTCGTTAGATACTGATGTTGATACTAAGTTGATACAATAAGTCTATCATATTGCTTCGCGCGGTCATTAGTCGAAAAGTCGAACTATCTATCTTCATCCTTAACATGTAGCAGCAGAAATGTGCAAATCCTCGATGTAGATTTTGCAGCTTTTTTCCAACAACTTGCTCCATGGTATAACCATGCGTAGATAGCCCACAACTCCATCACGCAAGCGAAATCCGTCTGGGTCTTAGAGTGGAGCAGGGAAAATCGTTTGAGGGGAGGTGCAGAGGAAGGCATAATCACATTGTAGGTTTAGGTTTCTTTTTCTACGACACGATGAGGGTTCTTGTGCCACAGTAGGTTCGGTTAGGTTGTGGACCCTGCACATATATCACTCCCGGCACATCGAGAGTAAGAAAGTATCTATCATGCTTACACATGTCACGTCATGGCATGGCGCCTCCTGTGTAGCTTTAATACGTGTGTACTTGTGAGGCCAGCATCCAGTTCGACTTGCTTACATTGATTCATAAGGAAGTTTCTGGTTGAAGACATCGACTTCAAGCTCCAAATTGCGCAATTCGAGTACGCCATGGGACATCTGGAGCGTGACATCTAAATTCTCCAAGTCCAAGTCTTTTCGCAGAAAACCGCCAAGGAATCGCCGCAAGATGTATTTGTAGAACCGCTTGAGCGGCAAGCGCGTCAATCGGGAAGCGAACTCCATCGTGATGTCTTCTAGGGTGGTGCGCGGACAATGCTACTTACGACCTTCGTTGACGTCACTCTGCGCCTATGAATTCGAGTCTCTTCGTCGCAAGGAAAGCCTTGACCACCCGTTAATAGCTTTGCCTCAGGAAGCGTCCTCGATGTACTTCTTGCTACGCTTTCCTCTCCTCGTCCAAGAATATTCGCAGTATCGCCTTACACCTAAGACGATACTGCGCAGTAGTCCCAGCAGCGTCGCCAAAGCTCAACCAGGTCATCATGCTCTTTTTGAAGGTCGATTTTCGCTTTAGTAATCAGGTCTCCATCATTCTTTGGAAGGCTCACTATTAATTTTGCGGAGTGTGTTGGAATAATGACAAATTGAAATTGTCGTACATGGAAAAGTAGTTGTACCATCTTTTACTACAACAATTACGTCAATTCGAATCGGTTTTTGTCCTTGAGGAAACACTTCCATGTTCTTAAAAATGGAAGCACTTCTCATTATTAGTAGACTGACTCTTTCTTATGCAGACTGTCGTTGCATGATCTCCGCTGCTGCAGCCAAAAATTTCATCTCTCGCTCTCTCACACACACATCTAGAAAGACAGACAAGACCGCAGCTCCGAAGGTTGGGCTTTGCCGAGTCACAGGGTCGATGAAATTTCATCACACAACATGATGCTAGTGTGTCCCCTGCACGTAGCGTTAAATTACACAGCATGCGTCTATTAGTTTCCTTGAGTGTCACACGTTAATCCAAACCATCCAATTCATCATCTTCCTGCGCATCAACTTCTATATTGTCAGAGCTTCCTTCCTGCACAGCAGATGCCATCTTGTCGGAGCTCGTAGTAGTTTCCACGCTAGTGTCCACGACTGGCTTATCTCCCTGTTCGGCAAAGGACTGCTGAGCAGAAGCTATGAAAGGAAATAAACACCGTGGTGACTGACCTTGTCTTAAACAAACACTTATTGCACTGGACCTATTGAGTCCATCTTGTACATTTGGTCGCAAAAGCTATGGAGTAGTGCAAACATATGCCTTTGATTACCCTGTTATGTGGACGTGGAGAGCGGTAGACAACACAAGATTTTCTCATAAGATCTGGCATAGTATCGTTCGTCTCGGGTTCCTCTGTCGGCGTCGTCACTTCATCGAGCACTTCCACTTTTTTGCGCAGTAGTTAGAGCCAAGTTTACGAGGTAGGTTCTGGTACACGAGTGTTCATTCCTTCTTAGAAAGGATATCTAACTGGCCCTACCCTATCAAACATTTCCTTTCTTCGCACGCAGGAATAGATACGGAAAAAATCAACCTCATCAAAAACAAATAAGATAAGACTCAACCCCATACAGAAATATGATATGGCTATTCCTCAAGACCCCGTCTTAAACTAACCGCAGCCCTGCAAGCATGCAGCGACCCAATTCGGTCAAAGGATTTCCACCAACAAAAACGTGACTCAAATTCGGCAAGTTTGACGGTAAGGCGAGAAAACCGACCAAGCTCTGCATGCCCACGTCAGAAAAGCGATTGCTAGAGATATCCAAGGTATCGATGTAACCGGAATCTGAGCGTAGAATTTGATTGTACAAACTCTTGATTTGCATGACCCCTACAAATCTGATATGGAATCTTCTACTTGGTCTTGTTGAGTCATGTTTCAACTATTGATGAGCACATCGTAGTGAACGATCAGGAGATGAAGACAGTGATATACAGTGAACGAAAACTTCAAGAACCACTCACCATTAAATACAGAGTAGAAACCGTCAGTGAACTTATGTATGCAAAGATTACCAAGAACAATAGATTCATCATCGCAAGTTTTTCAAACACACTACGATTTGGTACCTTTGCACACTTCGAGGATTGTTTTCATATCCGGATCTCCCAAGCTCATGCCACTAAGCCCAAGTCGGCTGCCTTTCAACTTTCGCCTCACGTCGCTTTCAGTCAGTCCCGCTCCTCCGCTTTCACCAAGATCCATGGGAACTGGAGGGGGGGTGTGGAAAATGAAGTATAAGATTGCTGAAATACGAGCTAATTCGTCGCTGTCGAAAGAGAACACTAATCCTATTTTAGGTACAAGTGCATACTGTTATGGACATTACCGTCTTCTAGCAGCTTCTCTTTTACACCAGTAGATGCACAAGTGTCTTTCTGCGTATCGGTAAATTCTGCACGTTTCTGGATCGAATAGCTTCCATACTTAGAACAGTGTCCCAAGGTACTTAGGTGGAATTTCTGATAGTAGTCTTCGTTTCGCTACCACACGAGTAGTAGTAGTAGTGTACTCACTCTCGGGGTAAAGTAGTTCAATTAGGCAAGTCTACTTCTTCTTCTTAATTAAAGTAGTTTAATCAGGGCAGAACAAAGAGTCAAATCCGCGTTAGAACAAGTCGCATAACATTTCCGCTAGCCCGTAGTGCCAGTTTTGCTCGTTCCTCCTTCGACTCCTTTTCCAGCTTCTCTAGTTCGGCGAGCACTTCTTCAAGCCGCTTCCGCATTTTGGGCGCCCGCTCCCGAAAGTCAGCTTCCCCCACATACTTATTGTCTAAGCAGTAGGTGACTACGCGTTGGGTTTCTTTCGTTAGAGTCTAAGAGGTATGGACGATTACTTGGGTTTTTTGGAGGTCCATAACCTCCATTAATCAGTTTGAGACAACTGACTCACCTATCTATGTATGTAAATGCGTCTTGCATGTAAATAAGCTCTTTCTTCGTAGCCTTTTTCTTCTTGAAAAAGTCAGGAATGGCCTGTTTCTCTTTTAGCTAGGTCAACATCGGTTAGGTTAGGTTAGCAGCGATCCTTCACACCAAGAAAAGTCTCAATGTATACAACGTAGTTCTTCTCGTAATTTGAAGGCTTTCTTCTTGAACCCATCGGGCAATACGCAGCCGGGTTTGTGATGTCTCGACTGTACTTTCCACGCAAACTCCCGTAGCTCTTCAACTTGGCCTTTAAAGTCCTTCTGCTCCCACGGAATCTTCGCCTCAGTCGCCAGAGGCTGTAGATTATTTGCTTTCTGGTACGCAGAACGCGGGTCATCCTCATCGGAATCCACATCTTCGATCGTAGGACCGGGTTTTAGAGCACTAGCTGTTTGTGTAAGAATAGTATAATCTGCAAGGTTCTTCACATACAACTACTATAAAATTGCAAACTTCCTCAGCGACGAAAGCCTTAAGTCTTCGTACCTGGCAGGCAGCGGCATTCTTCCTCGTGGGGACTCGAAGGCTGATATCTTTTTCTTGATCTTTTACTTCATCTATGTGTTTTTCTTGGTACTAAAGAAATTTCATCAATGCTGTTGTGTTCCTGATAGCACTTTTCATTTTCATCAAGAAATGTGTACTTGTTGAACATAGAAGACGCGTCAAGGGTAGAGGCAGTTGGGGTGGAGGGTCTACCAGGCACCAGCGGGCCCTCGCTTAGACACTACAATTCTCGGCCACTCAGAACTCTCAGTGGTCAGTCACTCAGAGCTTATCTCCATAACAGGTTACTCACATCATGAAGTCCCCGGAGTTACTACTGCCTCTTTTCTCTCAGTACTTATTGAGTATGTATGTAAGTCAACTTATATCAAAAGTCACGCCTCCAAACTCGCACATTGACGTGTCTGGGTTGCCTTTAAAGCCCTATATTTGAAAACTGCGTGTACACACACGGCGGTGGCGTGTTGGAACCCTGTTAGAGGCGTCTCGATCCTGTTTCTTCAACATTTCAGCGTCCGCAGTTGTTGATTACTGTATGTACTATACGCACTACCGCATCATGGTTACGAGCGTCCTTCTCACTATGCATGTGCATGTCTTCTTCATGTTCTTTCTTCCTTGTGCCATGAGGACATCAAATGTTTTTTTATGCAGCGAACAACTACTTCTATCTAGAAATAATGACCCTCTACGTTGAAGCCGCGAATAGGCTGCGACAAATGTATTGCACCAACGCTGAGGCTCCCAGTATGCATCCTTTCACCACAGACAGAATCGTCATCAGAAACAACGACGCTGGCAGGATCAGGTAGATAAAAGCGAAAAGAAACGGCCACAATGGGCCTGCTCTTGAGCCTGCTTGGATTAGAAGATTTCCTCAGTGTGGCTCCCAGTGTTGTTTCTCAAATGGAGTTCTTGCTAGCAGGCATCCATTGCTATTAGGTTTGGAGTGAAGCAGGCCCTTATGGAGTAGCTTGCTAGCTCTATTGCTATTAGGTTTGGAGTGAAGCAGGCCCTTAGGAACTAACGCGAGCAAAATTACCCCTACTTCATGTTCATGTTATCGCTGCTACATAGGGGCTTAATGCCTATGCCAGCCTTCTGTAAGGAGGGACCTGCGTAAGGCCTCACAGACAGCATGTGAAGATAAGAATACGAAAATCATGACCTGACAAGTCAGGATGATAGACGTCCTAGTTGCGTTCTTGAACTTGTAATCCATAATATGCTTCTGCTTCTCGTCTCCGAATGTGCGTCGGAAGAGTTCCTTCCGAGGTCCTCGAGCTCTCTTTCAAGCGCTCTTCTGAATTCACGAGTTGCGCAGCACACTACCACCTTCCCTTGACCCCTCTCGCTCGATAACTCCCTTACTCGTTGCCCCAACAAACGCGCTCTTTTGTCAACTAGAATATCTGCATGTTAGAAGAACAGCAGTCGTGCTGGTCTGGAGAGAATAAAGCATTTCATTACACTCGAAAACATGCGAGAGCTTTTATGAATTGTATTTGAATCTATTCGCCAAGAAGGTGCCTGAGAATTCTCTGCGGACTTCTACCATCGTATGATTCACAAACGCAAGAGGAAGTGGTCACCAGTGTTAGCCTTAATTCAAGGCGGGCGCAAGCTGCTCCTCGGATTCTGCCTTCACAGCTCGAATACTAGATGCACTCGATTCTTCATCATTTGTTGCTGAGTCCCGTATTATTACCGCTCCATCAGGTCCTTTTGAAGGGTCACCAGCTTTTTCCTCCCCAGTTCTGGGTCCATTTTCCTGCTCTTGCCCATAGCGACTCGTGGCAAGGTGTGTAAGCCGGTTCCGTGCATACCGCGCATATCGTGGCAACAGCCAAGGGCGTAAGAAAAGCGCCCGCGCCAACTCGCTCTGCGTCTGCCTGTAGCCTCGGTCACATGGAAGCGGAGTTAGCCTAGCATAGCTTAGAATCGTAACTCCGAATCAAAAATTTGTCATACGAGTTTATTTCTTTGATCCTAATCCCATTGAAATAAAAGGCACAAAGATAAAAAGCTTCCTCCGACAAGACAAAACCACTCAGCAGATTGGAATTTTCAAAATTCACTGTAACAAGCATCTACCAGACTGGAACATAAAAGGAAAATCGACATAAGAGCGGCAAGTCGTGGCTGTCTTTCCTGGCTTCAGTTGGGTACTTCAAAGCCAATTCTTCCAAGTCTCGTGTGAGAAGACCGCCTAGCAAGGTATTGATGGCGTCCATTTGCGGCTTCAGATTATTCCTACTTTGTTTAGCGGCTGCGCAATTGCATTCTTCAGGTCATCTTTGACTTCTACTTTCACATAATTACTAGTATTGGGAAGCCTTTCACATTACTAGAGGATTGGGAAGCAAGTCATCAAAGATGTTGGTAGTGCAGGATGAAACATCGGACGAGCCCTTAATTTGCGCAGCTGTTTTTCTCACGAACGCACCAGATGAACTTATTTCCCCCTTTCCATTTTCTCCATTTTGATGTTTATCTACTGCAGCGATAGTCCGCTGCGCTTCTTTCCATCGTGCAGGACAGGTCTCGAGCACCACCGTCCCCGGGTCCAAACTTCCTACGTAATTTGCAAACGCGTTCTCGTTCTCGTCGCCCTTTTTAAGAAGATGATACTCCTCCACGTCGACGCAAACTTAGGGCCGGCTTTTATCCATCTCGGCCCCCTCATCTCGACCCATTTCCCACTAAATACAAGAGAAAAGGGTATCGAGATGCTGAGAAAGATGGACACTAAATGTTGACCTTAACAAACTACTTCTCTCGTTCTACTTATTCTCTTGTCGAGGAAGTCATCTCTTGATTGCTGGTATAGCATTGTTTTCGTAGTCTGGAAGAAATTCCTAGACTGAGGGAAGGAGGTCCTGGTCAGAGTTGTCGCAGAACGAGGACAATAAGAAGAGGTGGCAAGACGCATCATCTGGTGACTCTTCATCTTGTTGAATTAGATCTAAAGGGGCTCCCGCCTCAGCCCTGCGCACTGAGCATCGGATCGGCAGATTCCTGGCTGGTTGCTTCGTTGTAGATTACGCACAGCTCCTCAAGGTTCAAGCTAGACTCAAGATGTCCAAACTCACATTCTGGTCAACCACTTCTGATGCAAATTGCAATCTCAACGGTCCTCTCACAAGCAATCTTGTTGAATGGTATTGAATGGTAGATGTGGCCACACCAAGTCGCGTTTTTCGAAATTTTCTTATTATGTTCTTTTTTTCGTAAACTTAGCTCAACGATTCAGATTCAGATTCAGATGGGGTCCTGCCTCAGCCCTGCGCATTGAGCACCGGATCAGTCCTGGATGGAGCCGTAGAACACTCTCTTAAATCCTCTCAAGAGCGGTCCAGCGTATGCAATGCATCAGTACGAAGCATCGCGGCAAGAATATTATGCTGACTCAATGCGCAGGAGCATCATGACAAACAAAAAGATTATGATCATAGGGTTTTTGGTGGGTAATTCAAATTGTTCTGCTCAACATGTGTAATACCTTGCACTTTCTGCGATGTGTCTTGGTGGGTAGGCCATCACGATTACATGACAATAAAAACACACAACTAAACTAAGTAATATGTTAGTTGAAAGGACTAAACGCACAACTAAACTCCGTATTATGCCCAAAGGACGGGAAATTAAGGTTGTCGCTACAATTTTTCTTCATGACATCAATCTACAAACATGAAATAAGGTTGTCGACGCAATTTCTATGACAATCTGCGTAGTAATATGATGTGGTCCGCCACTTCTTGCCCCGTTGAGTGTAATAGACTCTTTGCGTAGAGGTTTTCATGGTGTGGAGCGTTTTCTGGTCCCTTTTTCTCCGCACAACAATATCTGTCCATCAAGTATTCATAAAAGGCCCCTCTACTACTTTTATGTTGATTTGTTCTACACTTTTCTCCTTGGCACAAGATGTTGGATGTTGGATGGTTTTTGTCCATGTTGTTCCCTTCTGAATTATCACACAATGCGCAAGTCCGAGTCTCTTTTTTTGAGTTTTTAGTAGAAGTAGGTTTCATTTGATCAACAAAATAAACGCAATTAGTACTATTAACACAATGTTCTTCAAAAGTTTCAAGCTTTTTTCTAAAAGTTTTTTCACTTGCCGTACAACTAGAGTCTTTATCTAAGCTTCTACTCCCATTTGGGGCAGAAGAATCTGCTTTAGTGGTCCTTGTTATGGAAACTTCTTCAAAGTTAGAAAAATGTAAATAGTTGTCTTCTACAAATAGCCCTTCTCCTCGACCATCTTTTTCAGCATGTTTTTCACGCTGTCCATCTTCTCCATCAGCTGTTACTCTATCAAGAGATTCTTCTCCTGCTCCATCTTCGGTATCGTCCGTTAACTCATCGACTGCCATTTTCCCCCCAATTTTCCCCAATTCTGCAGACAATACCGTGTGCCATATTTCTACTTCTTCGCTGACAGAAGAACAATCCCCCAAACTACGAAATCGCTTCCGTAGTTTGCCCAGTAACCGCTGGATTTGGTCGCCTCCGTTGGACCGCTCTTGCACGACGAGGAGAGCAATTCCGTTTTTGCGTAATCTCTTCCACAAGACTGCAACCAGCGGATCTTCCTGCGAAGGGAAATACAGGCAATCCGAAGCAATTACCACGTCATACGTTGTGTCCTCCGGCATATCCTCAATCTCCTCTGGCATGCGACTTACATCAGACCAATGACGAATCTTTCGTGGCTGTTCTTTTTGCAATTTCCTCGATATTAAACATGTCGTGGTTAGATTAGGTTCTCTTTCTCCAGAATGTTGTTCCTTTTCACTTGTAGAGTCCTGTTCTTGCACCAGTTCATCCTGCTCCCATAAATGATGATACAAGTGGAGAACTTCATGTTGTGGAGACTTTGAACAAGGTGTACAAGGTGCCACCTCCTTTCTCCAGGAGTATTTCCGTTCTTTTCCTTCTTTCTCCAACTTCTCAATTTCTCGCTTCAGTAGCATCAACGCCCTGTCATCGCAGTCGGTTAAAGTCACTGACCTAGCTCCATGCGCAGCTACCACTAGCCCTGCAACGCCAACGCCACACCCTATTTCTAGAACATCCTTGCCAGCCACATTGACGAGGAAGTTTTGAAACAGCCCACATTCGTCCTTGTCATTCCTTCCAGCACCATGACTTCCTCCATCCAACAAAGCTCTGGCATCGCAATGATCGTCTTTGTCAGCATCAACATTCATGTCCTCGAACAGCCTTTCGGATCCGATAGGAGTAGCACTAGGAGTCGTGATAGAAGAACTGGGAGTCGTGATAGAAGATGAATCAGGAGTCGTGATACGAGAGCTGATAGAAGAACTCGGAGTCACTGTCGTAGTTGACAAAAGCGTTGCATCTTCTGTCGTTGAACTAGGAGTCGCTGTCGTCGTCGTAATCAATAGTCCGTCTGTACTACAAGAGGCTCGCTTAGGCGTGAACCCAGTCACCACCATGGATGCATCGTCTGACGCGAAACACTTCGTGTCGGTACCGACACTTGGTGGTATCCAACTATGTAGCAGAGGCTGCACGTCACAAGAGCCACAACTTGTTGACGGTTGTGCAACAAAAACATCGGAAGAATCTTGACAGCCACTTGTGGAAGTTCTTACAGTTGTCATGTCACAAGAATATCCACTTGTTGACTCTCGCCCAGCAACAGTATCCTTTCCGCCAGCTGCCAGCTCCGTTATCCCTTTGGCCGTTAGCTCAGAAGATCCCAGCGTTATCCCTTTGTCCGCTAGCTCCCCTCCCAACACCGCTGTTCTTGTCCCTTTGTGCAGCAGATGGGCTGTCAGAAGCGATGACTCCCATACTTTCGTGGCTATGTTGCTTCCTTGGTGAGGAACCCGCACTCTGATGCCTCCACCAAAATCAAGTTCGAAACTTGAAGATTGAACATCTTGATCTTCTGCAGAGCAAGCTGAGGGTTGCACGTCTGCTACAGAGGAAGCTGAAGGTTGCACATCCTCTGCACAGGCACGAACAGGTGAGCAGTCTCGTTCTTCTACGGTTTTGGGCCTCTTTTTCGAAAAACTAGGCTCTCCTTCTTGAGAAAAGTCGAGACAAAAGCACTCGTCATCGGAGAACGTCGACATAATTAGGTTAGGTTAGGTTAGGTGGGGGCCCGCCAGAAAAACTAGCAACCTTCATTGGCTACTGAAGAGCCAAAAAAGGAGACGAAACCTAGAGCTGGTAATGTTACGCTAGAACCTACTTTGTATGCTACGCTAAACCGCAACCACAACCTATGGCGATTCTAGGATAACGATTAGATGAAGGGAAACTCGAAAAAAGTTTAGCTCATCTCTCTACTTCTAGTTCCCGCAGTTTAATACTGAGGTTACAATCAAAGACTCAACACGTGTTAGAAAGCTACTACTTAGCGGAGGGAAATCCAAAACGAGATGAAAAGCACTGACAATTGGTTCAAATTTATAGCTCATGTCTCTACTTCTAGTTCCCGCAGGATAACACGATCTTTTCCACACCAAGAACTGAACAAACCCTCTGAGCAAAGGCGCCAAACCTCTCGTTGCAACACGTAGAAGGAAAAGCTGCCTCTCGTTTGAACAAGTAGAAGTAGAACCAACTACAAGACCATCGAATTATAAGCAGTGCATGTAATGAAAGTGCTCCATTGACATTGTAGTCGTTGATTATAAATGATGTACTATGGAAGAAACACAGACAATTAGGATCTCGTTGGCTCGTGACAAGAAGTAGTGTGTACGTAACACGTAGGAACCTGCTGCTCCCAAGAGCTTTCATTCATTCCTTCATTGCTCGCACAAGATCTGCGTCGGCTCCAACGAGTGGGCTAATTCTCCATTCTCATTTTTGCGTTTCATCTCCTCGTACATTCATTCATTCAAATTAAAATCCTTACCTTGTGCAAATTAAAGTCCTGACCTTGTGGTCCAGAAGAGGAAAGCTGACTCTCGTAAAAATAGGGCACATCACATTGGTAGAGAGGTCCTCAAGTAAGTCTCGTAACAAGGTGAAATCTCGTAAACAAAAATTGTTATTCAGGACTGATGATCATTTTGAGAGAACAGCAGCGCGAAAATGAGCATTCTTTTTTTTTGGATTTGGGTTACCTGAATTACACATCAGTTGAACACGAGCCTCTGGCGTATGATCTCTACAACACGACCCTCTGGCGACAGTCAAGTTCAAGTTCAATGAACATTGGATTCATCTTGTATTCTGTACAACGAGCATTGAATTCATCTTGCATTTAAGTGGATGAAGAAAGTCTGAAATTCTTGAGAATCTGATTTAGATTAGTAGATTAGATTAGAGTGTTGAGAGTCCTAGATTAAGCAGTAGATCAGATTCTTATATTACGATTAGATTACATTACATTAGAACACCAAGTGCGACTACCGTATCCCCTTGCGGGCGTAGTCTACTTTCTTTTTTGAGCTGCCGTGTTTCAATTCTTTCCGTATCTTTGAGAATCTTTTTTTTGCATCGTGGGGCTGCTAGAGGAGTGGCCTCAGTGTTATGTGCAGGATGCTATGTGCACCGACTCCACAAGAGGCTCAAGCTCTATCTATCTATCGTCTCTCCTGGCGCCGGCATATCATCTTCAACGCAACTAAAACTATTAGCCGTGGCTATAAAGCTTCTCGTTCTCCTCTTGGATGATACTGTTTTTCTCGGTTGTAGAGCATTTTTCATAGTTCAGGTAGATCCTGCCCACAGTCTTGCTATTGATGACCTGCGCAAAGATTAACAGCACAACAAATGACTTATCTTCTCAGGCAGTTGTAAGAGACGAGTGAGAGTGTCCACTTGGTTGTCGTGAGACGAGTGTCTGCTTAAACCACGCAAAATGTATTTCTATTTCCTTCTGTAATAATCGTAGTTCTTTTGAAGATGTTGTCATGTTTTTCTACTTAAGATATGGTATTCGTGGCGCTTCTACCCTCTCAGTGTCGTTGTCGTTGAGCACCACCACCATCAGCACTTTATCATCGTTCATCTTCTATGTTGTTGGAGAAAAATTACAATTATGGTCACACTCTTAGCGCTAGGAAGGTGATGCTACATTGCTTCTAGGAAGGTGATGTTACATTGTCCTGTGCATGCCTATGGCATGTTTTATGCTCTGACAGTAATTGCAATGCGACCAAGATCAACGACCATGTTGATGAATAACAGATCAGACGACTATCTACAAACAGCGTACTTAGAAACACCAGACTAGGAATCCCGTCGCCTAAGTAGTTGTACTAGAGAGAAGTAGGTGCACTAAAAGAAAGGACTTTCTTCTAGTAGTAGGCGCTTACAACTTCAAGTATCTAGTATCATTTATTGATCCAACTATCGACATAAAAAAAGCAACCACTTCTATTTGTATCTATTTGATACATTAATATTCCCGAAAAAAAAATTGATGGTTGTTGATTGATATTAACAAAAAAAAGTAGCAGATTTTGTTCACTGAGTCTCATCGTGCTTATCATGCTCATGAATTGCAACTGAATAAAATAAATTGATGAAGATAAGTATTTCTGCATGATGTTAGTGTTCGTCATAGTTTGTAAATCGAGATTGATTTTTGATTGATAGAACTGATGCGGAATGATATTTGTTCACTTGTTTTGCGGTTGAGTTTAGACAATTAGTGGACGACGAGAATGAAGACTCCAGTTTTGAATTGTTGAAAGTGCTGGATCTGTCGTTTCTTGATCTGTCGCGGCTTCCCTCGAAATTAATGGGCACCACGACAGACCAGAAGGCGAGGGGTCCAGCTTTCCTAGCCATATAAGCTGGCGCTGGTTCCTATTTCGACAGCGTTATTGTTTCTGATTTCTTTGTTTCTCGTTTTAGTGCCCACTGTGTGCGCATATCCACTAATGACTAAAAGTTATGTTATTCTTATTATTATTATTATTGCGCGCGCGACCCGACCGTCTCGCACGTGTTACGCCCTCAGGCGATCCTACCATCCGTCACTAAGGACACCGATGTAAGGGCACAATGGACCTCAAATCTGATAAATAAATTCGCCAACTACATTCAGACTGTTACTCAATATTGATGTTTCTCTTGATCTAACTATTAACTCGACATTGATACTTTTCTATTCAATTTTCTTGCGTTTTATATCAACTATTACTATTTCATCTTGTACTTTTTCGTAAACTGTCATAGCTATGTAAGAAGTTAACTGTCAACTATGTAGTTAACGCCATGAGTTGGTCGAACACGCAAAAACTTGCTTCTAGGCAAATTCATTCAATCACTCAGCTGCTACTCAATGCTAAGGGTTACAGAGTAGCAAAAATCACTCAACTGTTACAAGATTACAAAGTAATACACTGTAACTATCTAGGTTGTGCCCTCCTTTCCTTCGCTGTGGTTGAAGCACGTGATCACAATTGTAGGCACCTCCTCCTCAGCTCTTTTACTGGTGGAGGGTGATTGTACTACAACAAACATGCTCAACAAAGACAAACGATCTGAGTGAAGTTCTAAGTTAGTAACCAACAACATAAGTATTAGCCTGAATTGCCTCCCCTTGTTATAACTTGAATGCCTGCTCAAGAACGTCTACTATTTCGGAAGTTGGAATAGTGTTCGAATAGCGCACCACTGGCTCTCTACTGAGTGCTCTATTCGAAAAAATAGCGCGCCACTGGCTCTCTACTCAGTGCTCTATTCGAAAACTACTCCAACTACTACTGCCCAACACCTTCTACGAACCGTCATTTATCACGTAGACCACAGTCCCGGACCCTGACAACATCCTACGAGCCCCCTCCTCCCATATACCAAAACCCTTCTTGATCCTGCAAGTTGTTCTCATGAGCATGATGATATTGACCGACAAGGATAGCTTGCTCTTCCTCCTCCAGCAATAAGATTTGTCTGGGACAATTTTCCCATACCACGACTCTTTTTGATTACAACTCCCAAGAAACGCCCCTATTGTGATTACTTTCTCCTCAGTTGATCAAGAGGAGCCTGTTGCCAGGGTCGTCTACCTCCTATTGCGAAGAAAAGAGATGCCGCGAATGCCTCCCTTCTTCACCCCCGTGCTGGAAGCGCCACCTTCTTGAAGATCGAATCCTTTGTCCTCTCCTGCGTTTGTTCCAGAAGGTCGTTCCAGAAAATTACTGCCAGCTGGGAAAGAAGAGGGCTCTTCCTCCTTCTTGCTGCAGGCATTGCCCCCACACGACGAAGCGGTCGGGCTTTCCTGCTTACCAGACAATGATGGAGAACCAGACGAATTAGAACTGTAAGAAAATTGGGAAGTCCATATATTATATCGATGGAGCACTCCTAACTAGCAAACAAAAAATCAAAAAGGTCAGGTATTCCAAATATCTAATAAAATTCTAGTGGCCACGTTTATATTAGGATCCGTCTTTTTTAGGCGCCGCGCGTTCGTCCTTCTGCCCTGGAGGTCTTCTCATCTATGGCGGCCGAAGCCAGTGCGTGCCTCAGAGAAGTGCTCGGTTCTCGCGCTATGTGCACCCACTAGTTCGCTCCAGGGTACCGGTTCACCAAACTAGTGCACAGCGCGAGAAGTAGGACTAACTATATCCGTATCTTATCCTCAAGCTTTATATCTAGTGCTAGGCCTAGCTTGTTCTATTTATACACTTGAGCCAAAATGGCTACGGGAAGTCCATATATTGAAAAGTCCATATATGGGGAAGAGGAATCAGAACTGTCAGAAAACTGACCCCATTTTTGGTAAGAAAAACTGCTGAGCCAGATATTGTTTGTAAGAAAATTGACCAGATGAATTAGAACTGTAAGTCCATATATTGCGAAGACCGCCATGCCTATCTATTGGGATCCATCTTCGCGTTTATTCCCTGTATATTCCCTGTGGAAAAAGTCCCTGTCGTGGAAAAAAGGGAGGAGCACCCAGATGTTGCCGGGAACCCCGATGGTGGATAGGATAGGATAGGATAGGATACGATCGAATAGGATAGGATAGGATGATATAGGATAGAACAGGATAGGGCGCCTTTACTTCGCTCTCAAGCGAGGTGCTAACGCCTTGTAGCCTTAATAGCAGAACCTTGCTCGCCAGTAATAGCAGCATCTTGCTCGCCAGTAATAGCAGAATCTTGCTCGCCAGCAGCAAAATTCTTAGCGATCTTTTCGGGGAACTTTTCGCGAGCTTGTTGCAAAAAGTGAACTTCGGAATTGCCCAAAACCGCACGACGATCATCTCCGTTTAAAACCAAGGCCATCCTTAGAGGATCAAGAGGTTATGGTAGGTACCTCTTATGTAGCGATTGTTGTCTACTTGCGGTTGCAGAATGTATTAAACGCCTAATACCAAATTGCTGGAATAATCATACTGCATGAAAAGATAGACCTAAGCATGGAGGGAAAACTTACGGTACTAGGATGGAATAATTATAGTGATACTTAGTCAGAGAGGTTGAAGTTGCCGAATCCCCTTGGCTGCTTTTTCACGTGGAAAAAGAGCCCAGGACAGTCTAGTAGTTGTACTCGGGAACGAATGAAATGGTAGCCCTTAACATCCCATCAGTATAAACAATGGATGCTTCGCTCTCCGCTCGCCCATTCGCGTAGTTCGCCATGGCATCGGAAAGAAAATCTTTCACAATGAAACGACTCTGCTTAGAAGAGCCAGCTTTGAGTTATCATCTCAACCCCTTCATCTCGAAGACCCTTTTTCGTCCTACGAAAAGAATACTACCAGGGAAACAAAAAAAAGGGTATCCCGAGAAAACTGAGAAACAGATGCTGGATAAGTAGCCGTAGTCTGGGTCGGATCTGTTGCCGCGTCAGGGTTTTTCTTGCATGCATGCGGACGTAGCTGCAGCATATCGTTTTCCGAAACCCAACCGAGACCTGCATAGCCCATTCCCAAATTGTGCACGTATTTCTCATCCATATGATCCAAATGAGACCGGCAACCGTGTGCACCCTGCTTGGATCCCCCAATCTCCAGCGCCTCTATTAGAGGGGGGTAGGGGGTAGGGGTAGGGGGAGTAGGCTTGGGCCCCCATCTGAGAAAATT